GCTAAGCACAGCTCCAGCTACCTCGCAGCACCGGCATATAAACAACATCTTGAGCAGCCTTCCTCAGTGTTGTTGTCTTGGGGAGGAATTATTGGATGACCTTCTAGTATCGTCGACACACAGTACAGCTCGGGTGAAGAAGGAAACTAATTACAACTAGCTAAATATTATACATTTATCAGGGTTTTTTGACAGATGACAATAACATAATACAAACACTTAAAATTATATCCATGATGGTATATTGACCACACACAACTGATGCTTTAATATAATAATAAATAAACTAAAATATTTCATCTCCCCGCTGCCCATTTGTTACGTCACCCAGCGCCCTTATGAGGTCGAGTACAGCATGTCTTATTTGTTTATCCCCTATAGGCCTATTCCACACCGAGTGCCTTAAGTTACATCCCCTTTGCAACTTGTCACAGCGGTCTTCCTACAGTGAGTTAGTACCAGTGAAGTGGCAGAAGACGGGGAATGAATCGTGTAAAGAGGCAAATAGTCCGAGAAAATAAACACTTCACTGCTACGAAAAGTACAAACTTAATATTCTGTTTATATACCAAAGTGATGGAACATTATTTTTTGGGTAGCTTAATCGAAGCTCTGTACCTCATCCAGCCTTGGAACCAACATGAGTAAATATCCCCAAAGAGAAGAGCCTCTTTACCTCGAAAAGATGGCAAAAAATGCGTCAACTGCGGACTATAACATCACTGTCTATAACTGGACTCGGCAAAAGACGCCCAACACGACCTGGCCACATATGACGCTTTCGGTCTGTGGGAATGATTCTTTTACGAAGATAATTTCTATATTTTTAACGAACACAACATAATGGTATTACTCTCGTCTCGGTCATCCAGGAAACTTTAGGAGGTTAGGTTAGGTTTACTTCCTGGGTTCTGTGGCTAAGTTTGGTCGGTGCTGGACAAATTGTACTGCAGCAACTTGCACCCATCAGTACATAAGTCGTACCCAATTTACGAGACAGTTCGTACCCATATATAAAGCATGGACTAATTTCTGACAGTATGACAATGAAAGATCACAACACAATCCACCACAAACTTGACTTTTCTTAAAACACTATTTAACAACTTTAGATGTGATAGTGCAACAGAAACCAACACAACACAATAACAGTAATACAAAACTATGGAAACACAAAGCGGAAATTACCAGATCCCCAAACAACATATTTCTTATTATTTACCAATTCCTGTAAAGCTCTTGCTACCATTTGTCAAATATGAGTTGCAATAAATCAAAATCTATTTTTTTTAATTGACAATCACTAATCGGTCCCAGATCTGTATAATTCACACGAGCATCACAATCAACAGTCTGGTTTTAATACCGTTTACAAAAAGCTTGAGCTAGAAAATCTATCTGTTTATATGAATATCTAGACTTCCTCCGTGTCTATATGACCATTTACGTCACCCAGTTTATAAATTGAAACTTCCAAATCCATTAGCCTGAAATCTGTAAATAAGTTATTCTAAACCAGTGTGAACTATGTACTTGTAGTGTAATGTTTGTGTGACAGAATAACATATGAGATCCAACCATTTTAAAGCTGTATTACACTTCACTTTTTCACTACACTTTACATAATTTTTTTTTTAATTACTGTATAGGTAAAGCTAAAATGCATGGTACTGTATATGGATTATCTCTGGAATTGGGTGTAAGTAATCTTGGGTACGACTTATCTTAGGTGAGAGTTGGCGTGGGAACGAGTTGACTTTTTTGTGTACGATTTATCTTGGGTACGAGACGACCCCAACACAAGTTTGGTTAGGGTTTGTTAGTAAAGATCAAAATCATTAAAAACGTCAAAAATAGCTGGGAAAATTATGCACCGTACACCAGCCACAAGTAATGAAGGCAAAAGAGGGGGAACGTGACTTTATTTTAAAGGAATAAGCTAGAAAAAACTAAATCAGCTTAGTTTGGCTTTTCTTCACGTTATGTATGGAATTTTAGAAAGTAACTTAATAGTTATGAAACAAACCAACATCCAATCACTGAAAATAAACTATGGTGATGCAGCTAATCAAGGACAAAAAAATAAATAAAAATGAAATTACGTGAAGTCGTCCCTACATATTTCTCAAGTTAACAAAAAAATTTATATTTATAGACAAATTTCCCAAGGTTGGTGCTAAGGCCAGACAACTTATGAAATATTATCAAAAAAATTATTCATAAAATCAAGCACTTAGATGACTCAATGAGTAAAGAGCTAACATCAGATCACACTGTAAATACACGATAATTTTGGCCTGCCAGTGCATGTTCTCGAGCGATTTTAAACTAATTCCGATCTCGATTTCATTATTATTATACGACGAAGACTCCAATCAGGGTTTTCACCATCTTAATAGGAATGACTGTTTGGGGGTATATTTGGGAGCGGGATTCAGTGTCTAGTCGTGAATCAATGTCCTTAACCAAAGAAACCCAACCCACCTTAACCTTCCTCACCATATTACATAGAAAGTTAGGGAAGGTTTGGTTCGGTAGGTTTCTTTGGCTAGGTAAGGTTAGATTTCTTTGCCTTTTTTTACAGGAAACAGTCCACCCGGACACAGGTCATCAACCCACAACGGGGACTGGGGGGTGAAAAAATAACAGTAAAAAGAAATTAAAAATATAAAAGAAAAGGGTTATATTAATCTACACTACGAAGAGGCCGGGAAAACCAGCTTTTTAAAGTGAGACATTGAATGAGTATGGAAACACAGAAGAAGGCAGAGCATTCCACAGTTTGGCTGTGTGAGGAAAGAAGGATGTGGACAGATGAAATTCAACGTGGACAAATGTAAAGTGCTCAGTATAGGAGATGTAAACAGGGAAACCAGATACCAGATGAACAACGATGCCATAGAGAAATCCGACTGCGAGAGATTTAGGAGTAATGATAAGTAGGAACCTTAAGCCAAGTAAACAATGTGTTTTTGCTCGTAACAAGGCTAACAAAGTACTTGGGTTCATACACAAAGGAGTGTTAGTTACAAGACTAGCGAGGTCATCCTAAAACTGTATCTTGCACGTGTGAGACCACACCTGGATTACGCAGTTCAGTTCTGGTCACCGTATTACAGAATGGATATAGAATCCTTGGAAAGAATTCAGAGGAAAATGACAAGACTAATCCCGGGCATTGGGAACCTTGAGTATAGAGACAGGTTAAAGCATCTTAATTTGCACTCCCTCAAGAGACGTAGAGCGAGGGGCGACCTGATAGAGGTGTATAAATGGATGTCAGGGCTAAACAAAGGGGACATTACAAAGGTACTCAAACTATCCAACCAGGACCGAACTCGCAACAATGGTTTTAAATTAGACAAATTTAGATTTAGGCGCGAAATAGGTAAACACTGGTTTGGAAATAGAGTAGTGGATGAATGGAACAAGTTACCAAATATCATCATTAACTCGAATAGCTTCAAACATAGGTTGGATGCTTATATGAGCAATAGGGCTTGGGTGTAAACGGGACTGCCCAGTATGGGCCAATAGGCCCGCTGCAGTTTCCTCCATTCTTATGTTCTTATGTTTTCTTATTACGGGTTTTTATAGTGTGACCGACATCCACAGAGAAATGGTGGGCACCGCAGGCAAGACGTGTGTTACAAGCCCATGGCCTTGCCGGCGGTACACAGGATGCCAAATGCACCGAACATTGCCCGTTAAAGTAAATGTAAAAGAGAGAGAGTGAAGCAACATTGTGGTGAAGAGAAAGGGAAGAAAGATTATCAGCTAAAGGAGGAGAGTTAATAAGACGAAATATCTTTGATAAGCTTCTTTGGTTAAGTGTGGTTAGGTTAGATACGGTTAGTTAGGTTGGGAAGGTTCATACAATCTCTCTTCCATTTACTCATTCAGTGTCATCACGTCAATACGATCACCAGAAATTAAGATTCAATTACGTTATTTCTGGTGCCGTCTCCTCCACCTTTACCAATCATTGACACTGACCAATAAAATGTTCTTTACCCGAAATGAAAAGTAGAGTAGCATTTAAAACACACAAACCCTGCAAAGAAATAAGACTGATCCCAAAAAACACACATGGGTCTAAAAAGTACAATTCAATGTCTTAAAATTATCGTTAAATATTCCGGTTGGGGTCGGGTTAGGTTAGGTGAGGCTGCAAGAGTGGATAGTTAGGTTAGGTGAGGCTGCAAGAGTGGATAGTTAGGTTAGGTGAGGCTGCAAGAGTGGATAGTTAGGTTAGGTGAGGCTGCAAGAGTGGATAGTTAGGTTAGGTGAGGCTGCAAGAGTGGATAGTTAGGTTAGGTAAGGCTGCAAGAGTGGATAGTTAGGTTAGGTGAGGCTAGGTGGTTAGATTAGGATAGAAATTATTTAGTTATATTCGTGGACAATTTTTCCCCAGTTCTCATTACTCAGTTTTTTCCCACAAATAAAACATAAATTTTAAAACAGCGTCTGTACTGAATGTGTGTTCCTGTGCCCTAGACAAATGATATCCCGTGTGTATGACCCACGTGTTAGTGACAAATATCCTGTAAAATAATAAAAAAAATAATCAGACACAACTATAATAACCCACCACATTAACCACTGTGGTATAGGGAGGCCAAAATGTGATTATTTCCCTCGGTAATTATATAAATCCCATAATGGTTATATAATTATCACTAAATATAATTAGTTTGAGTTTATTTATTAGTTAAATGCCTCGTGTGGTGACGTACCCACTCTATTACACCACTAACACCACTATAATTACCAATATAACCTCTAAGACTATATAATATAACGGGTTAAATGATATAGGAGGTTACACGAGAGGCCAAAGGGAGGTAAAAGCAAGAGGCCATTGATGTTAGGGGTCATTACCTTACACCACGCGGGTCGTCACCACCTCTACTGGTACTACCACACGACTACCACACTACTACCCCAACTACCACCTCAGGACTACCACACCACACGATATAAATAACCAAATCACTTACTTCTCTAGTCTTATCTTCTTGAGCGCCACAATCCTCTTGGTGATCCGGTCCTGGGCCTTATACACAACGCCATAAGTCCCTTCACCGATTTTCTCAATCTTTTCGTAGTTCTGCAGCGACATGAATAAGTGGTGGTTGTTAGGTAGTTGATGGTAGTTAGATCGTTGGTTATTGGTAATAGAGGGTGTGTTTGTGTGTAAGGGTTTGTTTAAGAGGAAGGGGGTGGTTGAGGTGTGTGGCCGTGGGTGGTGATGGCGGCGGCAGGTTTCCCGCGCTACAGCTCAACTGACCGAGGCGTTTGGTCTACAGGAAGTGATGCTACGATCGAACAACTATTTCAATCAATACTAAAAAAATAAATTATATCTTAGTTATTTATTTATATTTATGTTTGGTTTATTTTTCTTGGGTTTTTTTTAGTGGTTTTGTTAGTTGGTTTTTTTTAATTTGGTTTGGTATTTATTTTTTTCGAGGTTATAATTGGGTGGTATTTTTGTTTTCTTTGTTTAATTTTGATGAGTGACTCTGTTATTATTATTCCTGGTACCTAAATATTTGTCTATTGGTTTATTTTAGCAATATTTCATTACTTGTACAATAAAACACAATATGGCTAAGAATAACAGTCATATACAAATACTTACAATAAATTACATATAATAAAACTCTTGGGATTACACAATAAAACGAATTATTAATATCCACTTTGGCCCTCGAAAATTTATATTAACAAAGTTACGCATAGAAACTTACCATATCACAAACTATTATTAAGAGTTAGCTAGAAAGATATTTATTTAATCTCACAAATGCCTACAAAAAGTAGTAGTACTAAATGAATACTAAATAATTGCTTCGTCAGTAAACAACAATTATCTCCTTGCATCCTTACACATCAATATTTCGAACATTTATTCATCCATACATATTTATAAAAACGATTTACTTAACTTAAGGAATATTTCTATGTCAGTGGACGACGGTATTAATAACACAACTCAGAACAGCGTTACTACCCCTTAACAAACCACTAAGGGCTATTTCTGTGTAGGTTATAATGTTATTAACAGTTTCAATAATGTCTAATATAAAAAAACAGTTACTTATAAGCGAAGAATAATCATAATATTTGAGTGATCTAGATATTTTTATTTCCAGCCTTTGTTATAGTGAGGTGTGCTTGACGTCATAGAGGGATGCACGTGACGTCATAGGGAGTTGTACGTGACGTCATAGAGGGATGCACGTGACGTCATAGCGAGTTGTACATGATGTCATAGAGGGATGCACGTGACGTCATAGCATGATGTATGTGATCTCGTCATAGTGGGATGCATGTGATGTCATAGTGGGCTGGTAGACTGTTCCATAGGTCTACCACCACCACTTGAACTGGTAGACTGTTCCATAGGTCTACCACCACCACTCGAACTGGTAGACTGTTCCATAGGTCTACCACCACCACTTGAACTGGTAGACTGTTCCATAGGTCTACCACCACCACTTGAACTGGTAGACTGTTCCATAGGTCTACCACCACCACTTGAACTGGTAGACTGTTCCATGAACTGGTAGACTGTTCCATAGGTCTACCACCACCACTTGAACTGGTAGACTGTTCCATAGGTCTACCACCACCACTTGAACTGGTAGACTGTTCCATAGGTCTACCACCACCACTTGAACTGGTAGACTGTTCCATAGATAGCGATAATAATAATAATAATAATAATAATAATAATATTGATAATAATAACAACAACGACAACAACAACAATAATAATAATAATAATAATAATAATAACAATAACATCAACGACAACAACAACAACAATAATAATAATAATAATAATAATAATAATAATAATAATAATAATAATAATAATAATAATAATGATAATAATACAAGCATTAATATAACCCACTAACTTTATTTCTTATTTATTGATCACAAAGCAGTAAAATAATAATAATAATAATAATAATTTTATTCCTTATACAGATTTAAGACAATTTTGATGCAGTATTAATAATAATATTCCACAGCATAATACTTTATTAATAGCGTACTGTAAATAATAATAATAATAATAATAATAATAATAATAATAATAATAATAATAATAATATAAACGGTCTGCATGAATTTTGATGTGTTCAAAGTAATGTGTTCCCTAACCTGTGTTCAAAGTAATGTGCTCCCTAACCTGTGATCAAAGTAATGTGTTCCCTAACCTGTGATCAAAGTAATGTGTTCCCTAACCTGTGATCAAAGTAATGTGTTCCCTAACCTGTGTTCAAAGTAATGTGTTCCCTAACCTGTGATCAAAGTAATGTGTTCCCTAACCTGTGATCAAAGTAATGTGTTCCCTAACCTGTGTTCAAAGTAATGTGTTCCCTAACCTGTCATAATGTTGACTTCAGGTATGACTTCAATTTTCGTCTATCACAGAAGGGTTATTGACAAATGGAATCCTTGAGACAAAGGCCATTGTTCAGTGTCGCATCAGCAGCTAAAGTGTTATATGTACTTGTTTTGCTCTACCAAGATACTATTACTGTTTGAACAATCCAAACGCATGAAGCTACTTATGTGAGTGCTTTGTTGTGCATAAGCAACGACAAGAAATAACATCTTTCGTGAAAAATACATATTTTGCCTACTTTGGGGTAACAATGGGTGATTTAGATAAACCATGGGGGGCCACATGTGTTGAAGGTTTAAGACTGTGGAAATATGGTAAGAAAAACGTTCTGCCATTTGGAGTCTCTATGGTATGACGGGAGCCTTAAAATCCTGTTGTTGACTGTTATTTTTGCCCTGTGAAGATAGAGGGATATAATGCTAAAAATAAACAAGGAATCATTTATCCCAACATTCCGTCTGACATGAGAACAGTGCCACATGGTCCTGAGGTTCCGGTCACCATTAACAGTGCCACATGGTCCTGAGGTTCCGGTCACCATTAACAGTGCCACATGGTCCTGAGGTTCCGGTCACCATTAACAGTGCCACATGGTCCTGAGGTTCCGGTCACCATTAACAGTACCACATGGTCCTGAGGTTCCACCATACACAGTGCCACATGGTCCTGAGGTTCCGGTCACCATTAACAGTGCCACATGGTCCTGAGGTTCCGGTCACCATTAACAGTGCCACATGGTCCTGAGGTTCCGGTCACCATTAACAGTGCCACATGGTCCTGAGAGGTTCCGGTCACCATTAACAGTGTGCCAGCCACATGGTCCTGAGGTCTACCATTAACAGTGCCAGCCACATGGTCCTGAGGTTCCGGTCACACAGTGCCACATGGTCCTGAGGTTCCGGTGCCACATGGTCCTGAGGTTCCACAACACACAGTGCCACATGGTCCTGAGGTTCCGGTCATTAACAGTGCCACATGGTCCTGAGGTTCCGGTCACCATTAACAGTGCCATGATGGTCCTGAGGTCCGGTCACCATTAACAGTGCCACATGGTCCTGAGGTTCCGGTCACCACACAGTGCCACATGGTCCTGAGGTTCCGGTCACCATTAACAGTGCCACATGGTCCTGAGGTTCCGGTCACCATTAACAGTGCCATATGGTCCTGAGGTTCCGGTCAACACAACAGTGCCACATGGTCCTGAGGTTCCGGTCACCATTAACAGTGCCACATGGTCCTGAGGTTCCGGTCACCATTAACAGTGCCACATGGTCCTGAGGTTCCGGTCACCATTAACAGTGCCACATGCTCCTGAGGTTCCGGTCACCATTAACAGTGCCACATGGTCCTGAGGTTCCGGTCACCAGATGTGTTGCAGTCCGTGACCGTGATTCATCGTCAGGTAACAGAAGTGATGTTTATCAACCTGAAGATATTAGTGATGTACCGGAGGTGTTTACCCACAGTGAACTTATCGATCTGGTTAGGGATTCGAATTAACCAAGGGAGTCTACTGGACTTTTAGGATCTAGGTTGAAATCAAAGAAGTTATTGACCAAAGGGACATATTATTCATGGTATAGGCAACGTGAACAAGAACTAGTTCTTTTTTTTTTCAGAGGAAGGCTCCTTGGTTTATTGTAATAATGTGTCTGCTTTAATTAACTATTTTGGCATTACCTATACAGCCACTGAACGGAGGTTGTTCATTGATTCTTCAAAAACAAGTCTCAAAGGAGTTTTACTTCATAATGGAAATGTATTTTCATCAATTCCTGTGGCTCACTCTGTTCATCTTCAGGAAACTTATGAACATTTGCAGATGCTTCGCGAGAAAGTTCATTATAAAGATCATGGTTAGTTGGTTTGTGGAGATTTCAAAGTCAATGTTTTGTCGCTTGGTCAACAGAGTGGATACACGAAAATGCCATGTTTTTTGTGTGAGTGGGACAGCAGAGCAAGACGTGAACATTGGGACAAAAAACACTGGCCACCTAGACAGGCTCTTGTGCCAGGTTCAAAAAATATTCTACATGAACCATTGATTAACCCTAAGAAAGTGCTGTTGCCTCCTCTGCATATTAAATTAGGGTTAATGAAACAATTTGTAAAAGCCCTAGATAAGGAAAGTGATTGTTTCAGGCACATATGCAGGGAATTTCCATCAATCACATATGAAAAAAATCAAAGCTGTCATTTTCGTGGGCCATCAAATACGAAAGTTAATGTTGGATCACCAATTTGAAGAGTCGTTGAACCAGTGTGAGAAAGAAGCATGGAATAGTTTCAAGAATGTTGTGTATAGTTTTTAGGTAATATAAAAGATCTAAACTATCAACACATTGTTAAAGGTACCGTATGTTGAATAACTTTAAAAACATAGTTTGCAATATGAGCATAGAGTGCAGTTCTTACATTCCCATCTTGAGTATTTTCCTGAAAATTTATGTAATTTAAGTGAAGAGCAAGGCGAAAGATTTCACCAGGACATTAAGGAAATGGAAAAGAGGTATCAAAGAAGGTGGAATGTGAACATGATGGCAGACTACTGCTGGATGCTGAAGAGAGATTGTGCCAGTGAAAAGATTGACAGAAAATCGAAAAAAGGAAAGTTTCACCCACCCTAGAAGCCTTATATTGTGTTCATTTATTTCTATATTCGCAGACAAATAGCCTTAATGGCAATAATCTTTAGGTTTAGTTAACGTTGAAGTCTACTGAATTGTCTTATTTGTATTATCATGTCATATCTGTACGTTGTATTGGTAATAAAGTGTGACGTGATAGGGCAAAACAAAGTATATTTTTTAAATCCTTGAGAAAAACAAATCAGAGTCACGTCACAGTTTTAAGACATCATTCAACTTTTCTTAAAATACAGACCGGTGTTTATAATCCTTACTCAGGAGAAAAACAAAAGAGAATCGCCTCAGATCATTACTTCAACAGTGGAGCACAAGGTGACACACAGCTTCTACGTTCCCCTGTGCCCATGAAGAGCTCCCAGCAGGATGAGTCTGGCAGCTTGAGCAGTATGGTCAGCGTCCTTAGAGTCACCAAGCTGGGGATTAACCTCAACCAGGTCAATGGCAGTAAGATGGCCAGTCTCCCTCACTGCCTCTGTGATTAGTAGCCCTTCTCGTAGGTTGAGTCCCCCTCGTACTGTGGGTGATGGTAGTTATTGCAGGGATTGTAGAGGGAGGGTGGGTAGTTATTGTAGATAGGGGGAGGGAGGGAGGGATAGTATTGTAAATATTGTAAACAGAGAGGGGGGGGGGAGTAAAGTATCAACAATACCCCCCCTCCCCCTCTCGTCCCATCAAAACAACAGCAAACATTTATCTCTTACCTGGCGTCCCTGTACTCGGAGCCTCGTAGGGGTCCAGGGAGTCGATATCAAAGGAGAGGTGAAGGGGCCTGGTAGCTGAGGGCTTGAGGTGCTCCAGACAGCGTTTGATGACTGTACACAGACCTAACTTATCCACGTCACTCATTCCGAAGGCTAGGATGTTCAGCTTGTCCAGGAACTGTCTGTAGAAGGCGCAGGAGGAAGAGAAGGAGGGGTTAGTAAAATAAATGGAAAGAAGGAGGAGGAGCCGAGGAGGAAAAGGAAGACAAGAAGAAGAGGAGGATCCCAACAAATAAGAAGTTACTTTAATTGTGAAACTTGTATGCAATTCCTGAAATGTTGACTTAAAATGTTGCAATTATGGCGTGCAATTTAACATTCCAAAGATCAACGTTGCAACTCTAGCTCCTGTAGATTAACATTGCAACATTAGCTAAGGGTTACAAGTCAACTATTGTTGCAACAGTGAGTCAATGTTGCAACAATGCTTAGTGTATGTAAGAACATTAACAGACTTACTGTTCGGCATTGTCAACGTCACGAAGTCCAATGTAAGCGATATGGTTAGCTGACATACTGTTGGTAGAGAGAAGTGGTCGAAATATATCAGAAAAATTACAAATACTCGAATGTGGAGAGCCTGGGGTAGGTCAAGAATGTGGTGAGCCTGGGGTAGGTCAAGAATGTGGTGGGGACGAGAGCCTGGGGTAGGTCAAGAATGTGGTGGGGACGAGAGCCTGGGGTAGGTCAAGAATGTGGTGGGGACGAGAGCCTGGGGTAGGTCAAGAATGTGGTGAGCCTGGGGTAGGTCAAGAATGTGGTGAGCCTGGGGTAGGTCAAGAATGGTGGGGACGAGAGCCTGGGGTAGGTCAAGAATGTGGTGGGGACGAGAGCCTGGGGTAGGTCAAGAATGTGGTGGGGACGAGAGCCTGGGGTAGGTCAAGAATGTGGTGGGGACGAGAGCCTGAGGTAGGTCAAGAATGTGGTGGGGACGAGAGCCTGGGGTAGGTCAAGAATGTGGACTGGGGAGTCAGGAGTAGGTCAAGAATGTGGAGGAGATAGTGGAGACAGTTTATTATTATTATTATTACTATTATTGTTAAACCAAAATTTACACTTACTTAATACACTACTAAAGAATAATTACCAGAAAGTAAATAAAAATATTATTTAAATGGTAAATTACTCACCAAGGTTTAGGCCAGTTGTCAGGTAGGCGGTTGACTTGGTCGGCCAGTTCCCTCAGCAAGTAAGACACAGGCATCCCGTGCATGTTACCTGAAGTAGATGTTGATCCGGTGTTAATGTCTGCATGAGCGTCTACCCATAACACCACCACCTGGAAGAAATCATTTAATTTTGTTACTTACAGTAGCTAGTTTGTTGTGCATCTTATACTCCTCCTGTGAGCGGTAGAGCAAAAGGATTACAGAGTAGTGTTCATAAAGTGTCGTAATAATTAACCCCCGTTGTCAGGATATTATGGCACTGAATGTTACACAGTATTTCAAATATATTCTTTGTTTAGTTCTATACATAAAGGGTAACTTGTTCACAGTACAGGCGCGTGAGGCAGTATGTCTGGCCTCACACTTTGTTATTCACATTTGCGTGAGAAGTGTTCAAGCACATTGTGTATTTGGTTCTGTACATGAGAACTGATATAGTTACTAAGTGTAAAAAAGTGGATACAATCTTAATATGTCGGCCATCTTGTCATTAGAGATGAAGTGTTGTGCCATTTCACCCACAGTGTGCTTGGACCTGTCCCTAACTAGGACAGACTGATGCCTTTCGTCCCATATCACTAACCAGCTGCCTGTGTAAACCTTTGAGAGGACGGTCCTCGGCAGACTCTTATATAGAGAACACATGTCTCCTAACATAAATGGCTTCACTCAGGGTAAAGGAGTACGTAACCACATTCCTAACTGTGCAGGGGATGAAAGGCACAGATACACCACATTTCTTGACCTAAAAGCTGCATTTGATATTGCTAATAGACAACTGATATTGTACGAACTAGCCAAAATGGATATCGCAGGTAGGCTGTTACACTGGATAAGTGGTTACCTCACTAACAGAAGGGCTGCTGCACTGTTTCAGGGTTACAAAAGTGAAGTTAAAGATATACAACTGGGCACCCCTCAAGGTGGAGTACTGAGTCCCACTTTGTTCAGTGTTCTTATGAACCAATTATTAAATTCAATACCAGACAGCCCCAGCAATATTACTGTTAGCTATGCTGATGATATTCTTATACTGTACATACTAAAACTCATCGTGAGATGAAAACAAGAATAATGTGTTGTCTAATGGAAGACCCTGCTGCCATATGTGACCAAGTCCCAGGTTGATGGTCTCAATTGTTTCTCTGACAACACAACACAACATAACACAGTACAACACAACACAACACAGCACAACACAGCACAATACAACACAACACAGTACAACACAACACAACACAACACAGCACAACACAACACAACACAACACAGTACAATACAACACAACACAGTACAACACAACACAACACAACACAACACACCATATATTGTTTCCCACTATTGATCTTTTGATGGTCCTTTTATTATTATTTATTTTGTTAATTATTATTATTATTAATATTTAATTATAATTGTTTTTTATTATTATCATCATTGTCATTATTATTATTTTATTACATTTTCGTCCTCCAGGCCTTGGTGTGGGTCATTAAGAAATAACCTGTGCTCTGGTGCCCATAAAAAACCTTGAAGCACGTATACATACACACAGCCTGTGAGAACCTGTCTAAGGTGTTCAACACACAAGCTGGTAACACCAAACACGGCCCCGCCAAGGTCAAGATAGGTAACAACATTATTGACTATGTTCCTTCTTTTAAATATCTTGGTGTCTCCGTCCCTTACCTGCCATGCAACAGCTAACTCACCATGTACTTTAACTTTTATCCTCTTCACCACTGATCAGCTCGCTAGCCGCTTGGGTGATCGGTCACGTCTCTGTTACACACTGTTGGTAAGTACTGGGCATGTACTGGCTCTCTGTTACACACTGTTGGCAAGTAATGGCTCTCTGTTACACACTGTTGGCAAGTACTGGCTCTCTGTTACACACTGTTGGCATGTACTGGCTCTCTGTTACACACTGTTGGCATGTACTGGCTCTCTGTTACACACTGTTGGCATGTACTGGCTCTGTTACACTGTTGGTAAGTACTGGGCATGTACTGGCTCTCTGTTACACTGTTGGCAAGTACTGGGCATGTACTGGCTCTCTGTTACACACTGTTGGCATGTACTGGCTCTCTGCTACACACTGTTGACAAGTACTGGGAATGTACTGGCTCCTGAATGTACCTGAACCTGCTCCAGTGTTGGTCAAGTCTGGTCTTGAAACAGCTCACACTCGGGGCCGTCACAACACTCTCTGGCAGGTTGTTCCAACAGTTCACAACTCTCACTCCGAAAAAGTTTGCCCTCACAGTTTTCTGGACTTGTGGCTTCTTCAACCTTGAGCCGTGACCCCTTGTGGGGCGAGCGTCCGCCAGCTCCAGGTATGGACACTCGACTGAGTAGTGCCCCTTAAGATGTTTATACACTTCAACTAGGTCCCCCCTTGCCCGTCTATAGTATAAGCTAAGCAGTTGTAGGCACTCTAATCTCTCAGGGTAACTGAGGTGCCGTAGTTCAGGCACCAGTCTGGTGGCCCTCCTTTGAACATTTTCAATCAACTGACAGTCCCTAGCATATCTCGGGGACCAGACTGGGTGACAGTACTCCAGAAGGGAAAGCACTTCACTCTTGAAGTGGTGTAACCTCTTACAAGTGTAGCGGGGTACAGCCCACATTATGGTGCTAATACAGTATTATAATTGTTAAAACAATGTACCTAAGCTATATAATGATCTCTGATAGATTACCACGCACCTGTAAGAACCGTTACAGTTCTGTGTCCATCACTACGATTTAAATTACAATAATAAAAGGTTTCTCTGTACATAAACACATACTGTACCTGGTGGTCGGTATTAGCTTGAGCAACACCAGTAATAGTCCCAATAGCCGTAGAGTGATCCCCTCCCAGAGTGACACACACCCTCCCATCCTTCACTACCCGGGTGACGGAGGAGGCGAGGCGTTGGCTATACTCCAGCACCTGCTTGTGGCAGTGCTCACCGCTGGGGCCTTCTTCCTCACACTCGTTCTTGTCCTGCTGCATCTCGACGTTACCATAATCCTCCACCTGAAGTCCTGTAGAAGGAGATGAAGGTTAGGTTAGGTTATCCTTGTATCCTACTAACGATTTTGCGTGTTTGTATAGTAAAAAGTAATTACTATTGACCTCAGAATATATCCGAGTACACATGGCTTCAAAATGCCCATAATTTTGGTCAGACCCCCCTTTTAATATTCCTGGATCCGCCCCTGTACTGTTTAAGTATATACACCTATACTATTGTTTATATATACACCTGTACTACTGTTTACATATATACATTGTTTATATACCTGCATTATGTTTATTCTACTGTATATGTATTGTGTAGCTACAAACTGAATCACTGTAACCTAGTATAATGATCTACCTGTCTGTCTGTCTGAGTTATTCTAAGATTTACGCGACCTTGAAACACCTCACATTCATGCGGCTGGCAGCACGGGCCGTGACAGTCATGGAAAATACATTTTACCCGATAACACAGATAAAATTGCAATATCACTTTAATTTACCCAGATTCTTTAGTTCCTTGATGAAGCCTGTATTCTTGATGGCCTGTGGTCCATTCTCTACACCTGTATGCCTCTTAACCTGAAAAAAATCGAGGGAAATTTACAATATTTGTCGTCGTGGGGGAACAGCTGGAATGGAATGTTGGAATAATCAAATCATTTCTTAATTAATTTTGTCTTAGTGAATTTATACTTTTTTTAATAACTATTATCTATTACGTGTTTTCATATTTATATACTGTACAATACTCCAAGCTGGGATATATAAGGTAAATTGACGGAGCTTAGTAACATATCAGCAAAACATAAGATGACCTTCAGTTAGTTCAGTAGACAAGTTTCAGTTCTGGCCAAGTCGTGTTGGACAAGTCTGGGTCTTAGTTTATGGTTAGGGAAGGTACGGTGCAGGTATTGTGTGTAGTTTGTTTTTAGTTCATGGTTAGGAAAGGGACAGTCGATGCATTGCTATAAAGCCACAGTGATATGGTTATGTTAAGTTAAATAATCTCCTTGGGACTAATAACACATAAATTAACCTAACCTAACTTTCCATGATTAATCTAAGTTACGGTGTTGCGTTGAAGGCATTTTGAAACCTGACACACACACACACACACACACACACAAGTGATAATCCTTCTAAATAAAATACCCGATTAAATAAATATTAAAATCATATAATTTTTACCTACAGTACATGACCTTCAAGTACAGTGTCAGATAGTGCCAACCTTACGTAATGCTTTGATTCGGGAAATTCGAATTCAATTTATAAAACAAAAAACGGAAACGACTTAACCAAAAATAACTTGTCCACTTGAGTAATCTGGGGAGCGTGTTTCCTGTGGGGTAAACAACCTTACTTAAGCGGTAGACATGTGACCTAATAATAAAAATAATAATAAATACTACTATAACTACTACTGCTACAACAACGTGGCCTCCAGCCTCCCCCAATAGCCACACCTTCGTCGTCATTTTATTACCTTAGAATTAACTATCCTAATACATAAGTAGCTACCTTGGCTGTGTTGAGTTAGTTGAGCCGCAGATCTATGTGACTGTTGCCTCAAAGTCGATATCTGCAACTGCTGTCGGTTTTGGGGCCGATGCTCTCGTTCCCCTGAGGTAAAGCAATGCAGACCTAAGGAGAGAGAAGGACAGTCGACATCTCATCCAGGCTGTAACATAACTTCTGGGCTGCTGCTTCTGTTCAGAGATCACCTCCACGAATCTGGCGTAGAAACATCTTGCACTTGGTCCCATCCCACCAGAGGTTATGAACACCAGTGGAGTGAAGCTGCCTTGATCAACGTTCTGGATTCTCTCCCCATATGCCCTTATCTTGTCGTTCTCGTTCCTCCTGTGTGCAGCATGTCCCCGCGTCCAGAATCCTCGAGCGCTGACGTCCACACGGGCTTCGTTGGATGTATTTGAAGTCCTGTGACGGAGGTTCTCACCGTCCAATGGAAGGAGGGGCGGCTCCACCATGACGTCGTGGCAGATTTCCCTCAGTAGATTTGCTGTTAGATCCCTTACTTCGTCCTGTATATACTGTTAATGAATATGATGTATTTCTTTGTGTAAGAACCTCTGTTCTGCGTGGCAGTGAGAAGTGATACCACCCTCAGTGTCAAGACCTGACTGAATTACTCAGAATAGGCAAACTGTACTCCAAGCTTTGTCAATAAAATTGTTAACTAAATTACTTCGTCATGCTTCATACATACGAAGCCCCCTTTCCTGCACACCATGGCGTAGTCGATGCCATAAAGATAAGTCACACACGCCTTGGGAGGGCAAACCTTACATTAGAGCAATGGCATCTGTGAATTATTGTTTATTAAGGATGAAGCCTTTTGCCCTTATCGGTAACCAGTTCGAGGCGCCCACCTCCTGCGCTATAGATACTTTCTTTTTCAAGTTCTCTGACACTTTCAGCAACAGTTGTTGCACTATCACTTTGGGTGTGCTGCCGCTCTGTCGTAATGGACCGTCGAATCTTGTTTATTTCGTTGGTATCCACCTGACTTAATGCATTCGGAGCCATTATGTGCTACTACTATTACTACAACTACTGCTATTACTACCACTACCACAACAACAAATACTAATAATAATAAGGAAACAGACAATAAACATGAATCATAAGGTGAATTTGTTTACCTGTCCTTTATTGAATGGTGCACCAATAACGCCAATATGTAACTTGTTGGTAATGGCGGTGGGAGTCACAGCACACAGCCTAGAAGACCTGTAACACAACACACGCAACATGGTGTTAAACTGTGAAGGGATACAGAAAATATAATGAAACAAAACTTGACTGGCTAACCTTTACTGCACCGCCTCCAGCTCTTTTCAGTTACTAATAGAGAAAATAAATCTTTTTTTTTATATAATTAGAAATAAATTAATTTGAAAATTTACTTCTAATTGACATATAATGATTACCCATCATTAGAGAATAATTAATATACAGTAAATTATGGTTTAAATTAGATATAATGTTCATAAGATGTTATTCCTTGTGGTATCTGGTCTCGTTTTCTCTCGACCAATCGCCAGTCGGTGTTTTTGTGGGCTGGTCACTGTGTCAGCTGATTTCGTGCTCAGAATGCAAGAAAAGCAAAGTATAAATTTAGTTCACCACAACAGAATCTTACCTTCACTTATTTTAATTTACTGGATTATCTTAGTTTATCTTACCATTAATTAACGCTAACCTAACCAATAGCCTAGCAATGAATTTAACCTAATCTAACTCGTCGCCAGGTAGATTTAAGTGAAATAAGCTGGGGCGGGCTAATCTTCAGGTGGGCATTTTACTTTTTTGTATTAACTTAACGTACAATACCTGGATATAAACGCATATTGTCAAGAAATTAATAGGAAAGTACAGGTGTGTTTTGCTCTGTTTTGTACACCTGGGTTTTGGTGAACACATCTGGGCCCTCACACACACACACACACACTTATCCCGGGTGATGTAGTGTAGTGTATTGTATGTCAGTCAGATTATTTGTATCCGCTTCGCCACTAATCGGTCTGGTAGCCACTTGGGCGGTCGATTAAGTCTCTTACACACTGTTGGTAAGTACTGGGCATGTACTGGCTCTCTGTTACACTGTTGGTAAGTACTGGGCATGTACTGGCTCTCTGTTACACTGTTGGTAAGTACTGGGCATGTACTGGCTCTCTGTTACACTGTTGGTAAGTACTGGGCATGTACTGGCTCTGTTACACTGTTGGTAAGTACTGGGCATGTACTGGCTCTCTGTTACACTGTTGGTAAGTACTGGGCATGTACTGGCTCTCTGTTACACTGTTGGTAAGTACTGGGCATGTACTGGCTCTCTGTTACACTGTTGGCAAGTACTGGGCATGTACTGGCTCTCTGTTACACACTGTTGACAAGTACTGGGCATGTACTGGCTCCTGAATGTACCTGAACCTGCTCCAGTGTTGGTCAAGTCTGGTCTTGAAACAGCTCACACTCGGTGCCATCACAACACTCTCTGGCAGGTTGTTCCAACAGTTCACAACTCTCACTCCGCAAAAGTTTGCCCTCACAGTTTTCTGGACTTGTGACTTCTTCAATCTTGAGCTGTGACCCCTTGTGGGGCGAGCGTCCGCCAGCTCCAGGTATGGACACTCGACTGAGTAGTGCCCCTTGAGATGTTTATACACATCAACTAGGTCCCCCCTTGCCCCTCTGTAGTATAAGCTGGGCAGTTGCAGGTACTCTAATCTCTCAGGGTAGTTGAGGTGCCGAATTGCAGGCACCAGTCTGGTGGCCCTCCTTTGAATATTTTCAACCAACTGACAGTCCCTAGCATATCTCGGGGACCAGGCGGGGTGACAGTACAGTTCTTGAGGCGGGGTGAGTACAGTACAGGGCGGGGCAGCACCGTTGGGACACACTATAGTAAGTTTTATTGGGGGTAATTTTAGTATCTCTGTTATAAACAATCAGCTGATACTGTACGACTTACCTGAGAAAATTCTGAAATGTCATGTTTGTTTAGTCGTTGGGGGCCTATTAGAGGGTCGTCCAGGTAGTTCTTCCAGGGATAGTTCTCTGAAATTAGGGACAAGTCAAATGACACCGTGTATACTGGGGGCGACCACTCTAGTAATACTCTCAATCACATATTTTAGGTCGTCACAGAGTCGTACGATCGTTAATTCTTCGTAAGTGAAGGTACAAACCCTATACCGCCATTTTGTCTCCTATTTGATACTGTGTGAAGGTCGAGTCTTTGGTCACCCTTTCGGCCATTTTGTCGTGAGGCAGTGATGACGTCATAAATATCCAGGTATTGTAGCTGGAAAATTATTTCACCTGATTACACCCCAGCTTATTTCACCTGATTACACCCCAGCTTATTTCACCTGATTACATTCCAGCTTATTTCACCTGATTACACCCCAGCTTATTTCACCTGATTACATTCCAGCTTATTTCACCTGACGACTATATAATCTCTTTATTTCACCTACTTAGATACCCTAGTTTATTTCACCTGATAATTGGACACTCCAAACATTACCTAGGGGTTAGGTTAACACCAGGAGAAATAAACTAGGGTGTCTAATCTTCAGTTGTTTATAGATTAGTTCTTTTCTAGTCTAAAAGTAGCTATATGTATGTGTGTGTGTGTGTGTGTGTGTGTGTGTGTGTGTGTGTGTGTGTGTGTGTGTGTGTGTGTGTGTAAGACAAAGAGTGCGGGGAGATATGATAGAAGTATTTAAGTGGGTGAAAGGAATCAATAAAGGGGATATAGATAAAGTTCTTATAATATCCGAGCAGGATAGGACTCGGAGCAACGGATTCAAGTTGGATAAGTTTAGGTTTAGGAGGGAGATAGGAAGGAACTGGTTCACAAATAGGGTGGTGGACGAGTGGAACAAGCTCAGCAACTTTGTAGTAAGTGCTGGAAAGTTTTAACAGGAGGCTGGATAGATTCATGGATGATAGAGAGTGGTAGTAACTCTCGACAGGAGCTGCCATGCACAGGCCAACCGGCCTCTTGCAGACTCCTTATTTTCTTATGTTCTTATATCAGTGTTGTAATGTAGACATAATAATGCCACCACAATCATTATATATTCTACTACTACTACTACCACCACTACACTCTACCACCACCACCAACCACTACATTATTATTCTATCACCATTACTACACAGCGAGTAATGGTTAATTAGTTACTGCATATATATATATATATATATATATATATATATATATATATATATATATATATATATATATATATATATATATATATATATATATATATATATATATATATATATATATATAAAACACTATGGCTGGTGGTTCTACAGAATATTAATCGAGAATTTCATTTAGCCAAACAAACATTAACTCACAACCAAACGAATAATACAAATCTTCTTTTCACCAACTGTTTGACGCAAAAGACTCGACTCCTCTCTCCACCGATGTCTCTCACTAACTGACTGATGTTTCAACTTCACTGCTACAGGTATTATTATTACAGCTTTTATATACATGATGTCATATTATTCCTGGATGGTAAATAGATAAGTGTTGTGCGTGTCAAGTGTTGGTGATGTCAGGTAGATAATGTTAATATGTTGACCCAGTTTATTATGACACGATGAAATCTGGGTGGTGTGGTGTAACATAAGAATGGTGGAAACTGCAGCGGGCCTATTGACTCATACTGGGCAGTCCCGTTTATACCCAACCCCTATTGCTCATATATCCATCCAGCCTCTGTTTGAAGCTATCCAGCGTATTAGAGTTAATGATGATGTTTGGTAACTTGTTCCACTCATCCACTACTCTGTTTCCAAACTAGTGTTTACCTATTTCGCGCCTAAATCTAAATTTGTCTAATTTAAAACCAATGTTACGAGTTCGCTCCTGGTTGGATAGTTTGAGTACCTTTGTTTAGCCCTGACTTCCATTTATACACCTCTATCAGGTCGCCCCTCACTCTACGTCTCTCAAGGGAGTGCAAATTAAGATGCTTTAACCTGTCTCTATACCCAAGGTTCCCAATGCCCGGGATTAGTCTTGTCATCCTCCTCTGAATTCTTTCCAAGGATTCTATATCCATTCTGTAGTACGGTGACCAGAACTGAACTGCGTAATCCAGGTGTGGTCTCACAAGAGCAAGATACAGTTTTAGGATGACCTCGCTAGTCTTGTAACTAACACTGACCTGGTAATACACGAGGTCTAACAAGCACAAGATATAGTTTTAGGATAACCTCGTTAGTCTTGTAACTAACACTGACCTGGTAATACACATGAGGTCTCACAAGAGCAAGATACAGTTTTAGGATGACCTCGCTAGTCTTGTAACTAACACTCCTTTGTGTATGAACCCAAGTACTTTATTAGCCTTGTTACGAGCAAAAACACATTGTTTACTTGGCTTAAGGTTCCTACTTATCATTACTCCTAAATCTTTCTCGCAGTCGGATTTCTCTATGGCATCTTTGTTCATCTGGTATCTGGTTTCCCTGTTTACATCTCCCATACCGAGCACTTTACATTTGTCCACATTGAATTTCATCTGTCATTTTTCAGACCATTCGAAAAATTTGTTTAATCTTCCTGTAGTTTTGCGGAGTCTCGTCAGGTCTAATAACACGTCCTATTTTAGTGTCATCAGCAAATTTACTTATGTTGCTGTCTATGCCGATATCTATGTAGTGTATGTATATATAATAAATAATAATGGTCCAAGCTAATGTTTGTCTGTGTGTGCACCAGTAAAATAGTCAGAGTATTTAAATTTCAGATATAAACTATTACAAAAAGTAGTTAGGACTTACATAGCCATTGGTGTTATTAGGAGCTGAGATAGTTCACGTGAGGTCAAGATAATGGGCGTGAGCTTGACCTGAAGCTGGGGTAGGTTAGGTGGAGAAGATTTAGGTAGAGACGATACAAGAGAGAGAGAGAGAGAGAGAGAGCTGGAGGGAGAGATTCAATGGTGTCTTCTGATGGACCCCAAAAGCCACCTTACTTAATTAACGATAAAAAAATAAATACGACATTATAACATTAAATTTTCTCATAATTATATAAAATGACTTTAAATATAGATTCAGAGATAAAATAGAGACAATATTTAAACCTTTTTTTATAACAAATTGAGAAAAATAAATAATTGTGGATCACTGTTGTAATCCAAAGGAAAATAATAGGTATCCGATTCCCTTCAAACAACTAAAACCCAGACACATATTTTTAAATTTTCTAACAATAAATAAACAGAATACCACAAAAAATAATAAAATATAGATATTAAATCAAAATAAAAACATCAATAACGTCTTCTATCATAAAATATATATAATTTAATTCAATCATTCCATCGAGGAGTCCGAACACAGGCGCCGTCCACCAGGCATCTCAAGAAGGTCGTCAAATTTCCTTCATTTACCTTAATTTTCGACAATATGTGGTATAATATCATCCCCAGCTTCGCCATAGTGACAGGGGCTCTTGGTTTACCTGCGTTAATTATTGCTGGACTACATAAACTGGCTTATAACAACGTGAGTATTGGTGTATGTGGCTACGTCTCTACCTGGGTGTTACCTTAGTAGCTAGGTGATAAATGTGAAGGTAGATGAAAAGATTCTATTTGAATTTATTAAGTAGATTAATAAAATACATGTTTATTCTAAGGTTATAAAATTTAACCTAACCATATCCAACCTTATTTAACCTAACAAACCAAACTTAACCCAACCTCAACTAACCTAACTTAATCCAACCTTATCTAACTTGACTAACCAAAGTTAATTTAACCTAACCCAACAAATGTAACCTAATCAAACCAAACCTGTATTTATGGAGAAGAAAAAGGTTAAATTTACTCACACTTTCCTCTCTTGCAGTTTTATCAGCGCGACCTCCAGTACCAGACTCAGCGGTTCATGTTCCTGAGAGATGAACGAATCAGTGGCAGCGCTTTTAAGCCAGTGGTGAGTTCTGGGGTTTGTCTCGACCAACTGAACATTAGCACCCCCTCCTCCTCCTCTTGGGATGATATTCTGAGTGTTGGTTTGAAGGCATTGTAATCGAGGGTTAAGTCATTGTATTTGAAGGTTAAGTCATTGTACTCAAGGGTCTAAGTCATTGTACTCAAGGGTCTAAGTCATTGTACTCAAGGGTCTAAGCCATCATTCTCAAGAGGTTAAGTCATCATACTCAGGAGGTTAAGTCATCATACTCAGGAGGTTAGGTCATCATATTCAAGGCCACATCACCAATTCTTAGGCCCAGACACCCCCCCCCCCTACACAATAAATATCTTTTCCACACTTATACAAACATAAGTTAACTAAAAAAAATCGTATTACATCAACTTTTAAACCACTAAAATGATTCCTGAATGCCATTAAATACACACACACACCCCCAAACACACACTCATGTTACTTAATATCTATTGAAACTTAGATAGGAAGTTTATGTTGCTGTGTAAATGTGTGTTATCTACAGTATGATTGACAAAGAACCAGCCTGTCATTAGAAGACTAGGGTGAACTAAAGTGTACAGTACAGTGTTTAAAGTGTTGGTAGTTGTAGGTTAAGTGCTATATGACATTGGCCTTACTTGAGTCGTTAAAGAAGAAATGTTTTAATACTATTCTCTATATATGTGTGTGTTTGTTTAATATCGAGATTGTTTCTGTGTTTACTATTATGATGTGTTAGTATTTGTTTATGATATGTTAGGGTTTGTTATTGTTTGATTTGTTTGTTTACTATTATGACTTGTTATGGTTGTGAGTAATTTTCTGTGGGTATTTGAGGCATAAACAATTATATTATGAGTAAGGGGAGGAGACATGATTACACCCAGACAGAACCTAACCTCTTGTGGTTACATTATGACACACTGACCTTGTAGCCAAACAGATGTCTCACACTCTATCATAATTTACATCTATTCGTTGGACCAATGAAGAACCAGGTCAGGAGCTTTTCACCCTCGGAAGGTCAATAGGTGTCAAAAACCTGACCTTCGTGAGGTTGTGGTTCCTGCCCCTTCAGATTCTAGGGAGGAACACAGATGACTCGTATCATCTAGGCTGTAGTATACAATCTTGATTCTTGTCAGGCCAAAAATCTTGACCTATATTATTACAATTTGAGTTTGTGTAAATTTTGTTATAGAAGTTGTTGGCCAGGAACCTAACCTGTGGTTAAGGATTTAGTCGTTAATTGGTATATTTTTTTTATTTCAGGGCTTGGAGAACATTCCTGATGAACCTTCAGAGTAAGAATGTTGTGCTGTCATGGCCGCTGTAAATAGTGTAATCATATTATGGATGTGAACTATTGTTAATAAATTATAGATATTTTTCGTAGTGTCATTAACCCCAACTACCTAACGGTGTAATATAATGGACAGTTAGTGTACAAAGTTTTCACTTTCATACAGGCTTACATAATGTTTTCTCAGATATATAACCAAGACAACTAGCCTCAAGAAACACTGTCACTTGAAAACCAAACACAGGTACAGAACAACACCGGCCATAAGTGTACTGCAATAACTCACACCTCAGCTGTTGGTGGCTGATACTGTACAGTCCTCTACAGGTTGTCCATCAGTGAAATGAAACAACTGTGAAGACTTATATTTTACTGAATAATGCAAACAGAGGAATATTCTCACAGCTCATACTTATTAGGCTTGAGTATCATTTGGTGTTGGGATACATTAAGGTGAACACTAATCTTGTGAGCCATTACTACCATGGATTAAGTCACTACGGTACACGAGTTCCCTCCACACATTTTTTTAACATCTCGGAGAGTTACAGAAGCCACCGCCGCTGTCCTGCACCTTCGGACTTAACATAACCCACCAAAAATATCAAGTGGGGCGGCCAGGACACGGGGTTATGCGAGTCCGAAGTGTTTTGCAAGATAAACTCGGATCAAACCAAGAGTAGAGTATGCCGTCTGTCTCGGAGGAGTGAGATGGAGGACAGAACTCGTGAGTGAGAATGAGGGAAGGTGCCGCATCCCGAGGAACATCTTCAGAGACTTATCAAGGTGTGGGCCATGAGCTACGATTGATTCACTGAACGATATTAATGCAGACCTGAGAAGTGTGCAAAATCTAATCTCTTCTTTTACAGACTTTCGACCGTACATAAAGGTCACCAATCTGCTCCCTGACTCCCCCACACAACACCTAGGATAATACAATATAGTGGTACTGTATAAACAACACATTTCTGACCCACTAGGCAGGTTGTTGTCAGGAGCGTCTCTTATATTGTTGTAATACAGTAGTTTATTTTTCCATAGGTTGTGAGGGGGTAGAGTACAGTACAGGGCTTACAAATCATTATAATCTCCATTACTCTTATTAATTCACTATTGTCAGGCACATCACTGTTAGTAAGTTCAAACTCTGAGGATTTTTTAGTGTGTTTCAGTGATGAGTAAATAGCACACAGACACAATACTTTTAACTCATGAAATAGATCCAGAAATTACATCTTTGAAAAAAAAATACGCCGAATCCATTGACTTCCTAAGATTAATAAATTGATATTTGTACATATCTACTGAACATTATCATACTGAAGTAAACTAAATAAGCCAGTGGTTGTTAGGTCCATCAGAGTACCACCACCAACTATTCAACCCAAGCTGACAACTGGTAAATCAATAAACAACAACTCGTAATGAACGACAACAAATTCTTCACCATGCACTAGTATACTTTTTCGGGGTAGGAAGAAAACCTAACCGGACTCCTCATTCTCAAGAGTCAACCTTAGGCATTCTAATTATAACATCTCACAAAATTAAAAACCATCCAGCTATCTTTTGACACATTCCTAAATAATACAAACTACCTCTACAGTACCTCGTGGCCGTTGGTAGCTTGGCCCAGTGGAGTCGAGACACAGAGGGGTGAGTGACCGTATCTTGCTAAGAGAGCCTTGGGTTATACTATATACAATATAATGTTTAGTTCACAGTGATTGGTGGATGGACAAATGGATGGAGGGATAGATGACTGGATTAAAAGATAAATAGTATGACAAGAATTGATGGATGGATTGACAAATGAATTAATTTTGAATGGCCAAATGGATAGATGGATGGATAACTTAACACATGAATGGATCAACAGCGACAATTAATTTGGAATGATACTGGATTGAGATTTAAAAGAAAAAACAAATATTTTCACACTTTATTACAATGTGACTGAAAAAAATCTTAGAATTATACAAGAAAACAAACAAACTTGTCTATAATATTGGATAACCTTAAAAAAACTCAAACTACAAGTTTATTTTATACAGTAGTTGTTGTTTCCAGTAATTAAAAACAGTGTTTGTTGTTTCTCTGAGCCATGGAAAAGACTGTGTATGTCCAAGTATTATTTCCTATGTCCCTGTGTGCTTGTAGTGATGATGTAGGTAGTGGGTTCTATTATGCCTATACATATGTCCCTCACTTAACCCCCTGGCAGTTGTTCGGCACATAACAGGAACGGTTCATCCTAACATTGGGTAGAGCGAACCAGACCCACCCTTAGAGACGCATCTGCCAGCACGTGAGACTAGTGGGAGGACCTCGAGTGGTTGGTCGGGCCAGTCCACAGTCCCCTCGTCTCTGATTATGGAAGGAGTGCTGCTCGGGGTCACGGTACTGCTTAGCGATGCAATTTGTGTCAAAAGACCACTAAGGCGGTTATAGCTTCCTGGATTACTATTGTTAAGAGAATTTTCATATCTCGAATAACAGAACAAATGGGGGGAAAAATAGGATTTACTTCCCAACGACAAGTAAACCCAAACATTATAAACCAAAACATGAAATTGGTTCAAGATCAACAAAAAAAAAACCCAACTTAACTAATGAAAAATAGTCCATTGCCCCATCTACTGTAATTTACTACTTAATGGAGGGAGCGATTACCTTATGAGTCGGGGCTGACCACAAGGGGCAGTAAATGGCTGAGCAAAAGACACAGGCCAGGGTAGGGAGATAGAGGGGTTGTTATGATCATCGAGCTAGAATACGTCTCTGCCCATCTCTCCAATATGGCTGCTCCAGTCGAGTCCCGGGGATGTGCGATATGAATTTTTGCCGGGACACAAATTCAAAGAAACGGGAGAAGGTTTCGTTAGAAAACATGTGTCTATTTAAGAAATTCGAAGAAGTGAATTTTCATATCTGGAACGCTTGTTAAGTGAAGGACACCTGTAAAATATTGTTATTTATACCTACACAATTGTACAGGTATATTGTTCTACTTAATGGCAATAATGGGAGTGGCGTCCAGTTATAAAGTTTACTCTCACCCAATCCACTAGTTACCATAAGCAGAACAAATATATATAACAATGTAGATATAATGAGGTTCAGTATAACAATGAACAAATACAGGATAATTTTCTTTATCCCACGACCCCAAATAATTATAATATTTTACGACAAACAACGAAGAGGAACCTAACCATCAACAGGTATAAAGTGTGATCATTGTCAAGACCATTTACACTCTTCACAATGATACAACCAAACGTTAACTTTAGCAACTGTTTATTACACATCCTAATATATCATAATCATTTAGGGTTCTCCGATAAACAACGACCTCGTACCACCGCAGGCGTAGAGGAACTATTGAATCGCCCCAATATAATCTCACAAGTTCGGGCAGTTAGCATCAGGAATATGAGAAAGCACGAGCGGTATTTGATGATGCTCGGTCAATACAGAAATGACCTTGTATATACCCGATGTTGCCGACAGCTAACCCACGATGATGATGATATTTTACAACACTTGAAAAGGACTGAAATACCTCAAACTACGATACCATAATAACTTTGTATTGGTCGACCAGAAGCCAACTCTCACACTCACGCGCCGATACCGTACCAAGACGACACAACTCACCTACCGGCATTGTTCCCGGGACTGTACGACAGGTTGGTGGGAGATATAACACAAGATTCATTCAGACCCCAAAATGCTAGGATACACAGAAAAACATTAATAAAAGAGACACAGCAGCTTAGAGTATACAGAAGGGCCGATATGAGCAGTAGGGTAGAGCACCGTCTTGAAATAAAGTACGATATTATAGCATTAACTATTATGACTTATTATGTATATGCCTTTATTGTCACAAACACAAGCATGATACTATAATACATGTTTGTTTGACCAATACATGAAGAACAGGGATAATGGTGGACCTTTATAATGCTCAGTGCTAATGAGACTCAGCGAGGTCAGTCACACCTAGACATACTTGTACAGATGATGACAATAGTAACTCATATTTCCTTTAACATTGGTGTTGTCTGTCCACACCTCCTCCTCCTCCTCCTCTTGGTTTCACACAGAGGCGGCGACAATTTACGCCATGCTGAAAAATAAAAAACGTAAATAATTAATCTTCAGGTTAAAACGTAGTAAAAATCACCCAATGGAGGTTTGACTTTGGCCATGCTACCAGTTATAATACAAATCTCTGTGTCATCTATGTTATTTATCGTAGTTTTTGGTACAGTACAGTATATTAATTCTCTATGTATACCAGGCTGGGAGAGTTTACATAGCAGCCCGGACACAAATAAGGACTAACATCCACACAAGGAATCTGTAAAACTCTGGACAAGTTAAGGAGTTACCAGGTCACAAATTTAGGGTTCTTGTACAGTACTGCAAAATGATAAGAGCCATTTTGTATACAGTATGCCCTTCAAATTGATGGGGGTTAAATTCTCAAAATGGCCGCGAATCACCAAATAAGTGAATAACTTGTTCTTGCTGTGAGGAGGACATTTTTACTTGTGTACAAAGAAATGTTTATTCCCTTTATGTGTTTGCCCTTAAGACAATTATTTCTTTTACCTGTATTGTATATAAGTGTCTACACACACACATACAATACAGGTAAAAAAAATTACAGTCGGCCCTTCACATACGCGGGTTTAGCATTCACGGATTCGCAAATACGCGGATTGCCCCGCCAGAGGAATATTCTGTACATTGAAGTAATTGAAGTACATTCAAATCGCGCGCCATTCAACTCGCGCACGGCACCGAACACGGGACACCGCCCGCAACCTCACACACACACGCATAGCTCTCCCTCACTCAGTCAGTCTCGCTGTAACCACGCTTGTGTTGACATCAGCATTGTAGTTGCAAAAATATTACATTTCCGTGAATGTATTATATCAAGCACAGTATGAATAGAATATCACTAATATAAGAGTATTTTAACTGAAAACTACTAAAAAAACGAGTAACATATCTTGAACATCGGAAGGTTAGGTAAAGGCTCTTGTTTTCGTCATGTATTTTATCCTAATTTACATTGAAATACATCACGTTTCAGCAAAACTACTATTTATTTCTGAGAATATGGAAATGTAATATTTTGCTGAAATGACGTACGTATTACAGTGGAAAGTGACGAAAGCAATGACTCGCTTTCTTTCGCTCAAAAGATGTTACCGTAATCGCTTTTCGAATGGTTTTCAGTTAAAAAACTGTTGTATTACTACAATAATATTCTATCCTAATTCACTTGTGATGCAACAGTTTTTTAACTGAAAACCATTCGAAAAACGATTACGGTAACATCTTATGAACGAAAGAAAGCGAAAGTCATTGTTTTCGTCACGATTTTGTCTCACATTCCACTGTAATACTTACGTCATTTCAGCAAAAATATTTAATTTCTGTGAATGTAGTATATCAAGGACAGTATGAATATAATATCATTGTAATATAACAGTATTTTAACCTAAAACTATTAAAAAAAACGAGTAACACCTCTTGAACATTGGAAGGTTAGGTGAAGTCTTTTGTTTTCGTCATGTATTTTATCCTATTTTACATTGAAATACATCACGTTTCAGCAAAATTACTCTTTATTTCCAAGAATATATTCATTCAGGCGCAGTTTAGGTAAAATATACGTGTGATGTAAAAATTTTGTAATTGAAAATGATTCGAAAAACACGTACCCTCTAGCCCTGTTCAAGGAGAGGACTGGGAGAAGCTGTTTGGTGCTGCCGATGGCAAGGAAAATGATTTGGATGGATTTTAATGAAAATATTCAGAAATATGGTATCGTAGTATTTATTCAAGTCAATTAGGATAGAATATTATTGTAATACAACAGTAGTGACGATGTGGAGGAGGCGGAGGGATAGAGCGGGGAGGAGGTGACTGGCGGGAGCAGGGACGAGTGGAGATGCCAGCCAGTACATTGGAGATGTGTTTTATGCATATTTTGTTAATGTGTCTATAAAACTGAGAACGCCGATATATATTTTTGCTGACTAAGTCATCGTATTCTAGTCGTCTTTAAAACAACGTTCAGATATTACGTAATCCGCTTTTCAGATGGTTTTCAGTTGTGCGTGCTAATGATAGGATGGGCATCTTATTATAGCCGTGAGGCTGGCAACTGATTTTTAACTAAACCATTAAGCATTCGCTCTTAAAATAGTCTTTAGATCATGATTTCTCCTACTTCCACTATAATATGTACGTCATTCCAGCAAAAATATTACATTTCCATATTTATTTCCGAGAATATATTCATTCAGTCACAGTTAAGGTAAAATATACTTGTGATGTAATATTTTAATGAAAATCCAGTATCGTAGTTTTCTCTTGTTTTAAATTTAATTAACAAAGATTGATGTTTCAAATGTAATGAACAAAAATTTATGTCCAGTATCTATAAATTAACTTTAATAAAAGAATACTTTGTTTTACATCGTCCTGTGCTACCATACCATGGATTTGGCTACTTTGGGCTCGTAAGAGATCTGCCCTGGCAACTGTACCGACACTCACAGCTGGTGGTGTGTTGGTGCATCGTTTCCATTGTTTACTGGTAGTTACTGGTAAATATTTTTCAACCTAATGAAACTATTACCCGTTTAGGTCATTTTAATTTTTTGCAAATAATTTGGTCAACTAAAAACTCGAACTACCTGATTATCTGTTAAGCAAGGACCTTAGCAGGCCAGGGGTTTTAGGTGTCATGGTTACCTGTACATTCCCGGGTATCTCTGGCCACCTAACCCACTTGAATGTTAAAGGCTTAAGGCTTCCTTTGCAGTGTCTAGAACGAATGGCTCCCTGTCCCGGCCGCAAAAATGCCGGCAACTTTAAAACTACCCACAGACATTCTTGGATACATCCAGGGTGTCATCCGCAAATAACAGAAGACCACGAAATAAAAATCCGCGAATTATCCGGGCGGACTGTACCAAGAGATGCACCGTACACACACACTCTTACACCCTCCCTCTCTCACTCTTACACACACACCCTCCCTCTCTCACTCTTACACAGACACACACACACACACCTCATGTTACCAAGACTCACCTGTCAATCAAAGCGTTCCTCATGGTAGTAGATATGGCGGCCTGGGGGGCGTCGCTAATCTTAAAGATGCTCTCAATCACGTTGATCTCGGTGGCCGTCGTATCCATGCCGCAGAAGGCCGACCAATCATTCACCAGAAGCCCGGCGGCTAACGCGTTGCTGCCTCGGTTAACAGTGCCGGCCTGCGGGGTGGAAAACTTCATTATGTACGAACCGAACGACATACAGTAACATACACGTGTCTGTGAGTAAAGCCACTTAATACGACTCGAGACGCACCACTAGAGGAACCTGTAGGAGCATGGAGAGTTCATCCTGTTCCTGGGTCGGGGTTGAAGGATGCACAATGCCTCCCTGGTTGGACAGCGGTATCCCAGTGAAGATGGTCTCTTGGTTTACCTGGCCAGGGTGACAAATTATACAATTATATAACACAAGTTAATGATTAAATGCATAATTATGAAGAAACATTTGCATTACTCTATCATTTACCACAATATTAAAACATGTGTATTACTGAAACCATCATTTACCACAATATTAAAACATGTGTATTACTCCAAACAACCATTTCTTATACCCCAAACTACCCATCTCTGTAAACGAGTAATACAATATAATTAACGACGAACCGCACCCTGTCTATGTCGGGATGAACGAGAGCGACGTAATCGTTACAAACAACAACGTTCCCCAAGGCAGATAATCTCTCCTCTATACGCTGGAGCTTGACCTTCTCTGGCAGGTGGTCTCGGAGGTGTTGGAGTTCGCTGTCTGTGGTTGTGCTGGGTACGAGGAGGCCGTGTCTATTGCCTGTGAACAACAAAACCCGACAACAGTGTATTATTAGTGTTATCATCATTATTGTTATTATTATCATCATTATTAGCAGTTATTGTTGTTATGGTGCAACGGAATGTCTAATGATTCTTTTTTAGTGGACTATACACTCACACACAACTTAAAACACACACACACAACTTAAAACACACGCACACTACTACTACTACTATTACTACTTTGCCGTCACTGGTAATCGAGGCTGACGATCATCCAGCTATGATACAATGATATGAGTTATTAAGGATGTCACCTACAGTAGGTTGGTGAGTTCTGGGGTGACTAAAGAGGCCGATACGGGACCGGCAGAGTCGTCCACAGATGTTGCACGTGTGGGGGGCTACATCTAGTGCGGGAGGGACGGCGGCAGCGTCTTTCCGGCGTTGGCACTTGTCTGCCTCGGCTTACAGTCGGGCTAACTCGAAAGTATTGACACCTTCTCGTGTGGTGCTCCTCCAAGCGTTACGGTGTGCAGTAATCGTCTCCTAGGTGAGGGGGTCCATTTGGCACCTTTTCAGGTTTGTCTTAAGACTATCCTTATACCTTTTCAGTTGGCCGCCGGCGTTACGTTTACTATTCGTTAGGTGACTGTAAAGTAGCTGCTTTGGCAGTCTACTGCCGTCCATGTGGGTAACATGGCCAGTCCAGCGTAGTTGTTCATGGATAATGGTAGCCTCGATGCTCCTACAGTTGGTGTCAGCGAGAATACTGGCATTTGTTCTCTTGTCTTCCCAGTGAACTCGGAGGATGGAACGTAGACAACATTGAAGAAAGTTTTCAAGTGCCTTGAGGTTCTTCTTGTATGTGACCCATGTCTCGCTGCCATATAGCAGGGTGGGGAGGACCACTGCTCGATAAACGTGTAACTTTGTGGATAATTTCAGCTCCCTGCAACTGAAGACACGGTGGTGGACAGGTGGGAGCTGAGATACTGAAAGTGGGCAACATTAGAGAGGGTAGTAACGTGAACCTGGATGGATGGTGGAGGTGTGGCTGAACCAGAGGCAGGGAATCCAAGTCTTACAAACATTCACCTCAAGACCGAAGTGTGCATAGGCATCTGCCGAGGTGTTCAGGATCTCCTGTAGGTCATGTTCAGTGTGAGCAACAAGGGTGAGGTAGTCTGCATACTGAAGTTCAGTAATGGAAGCTGCCGACACCTTTGTTCCTGCCTGGAGTCGTCTTATGTTGAAAAGATCTTTCATCCGGTACGCGATGTCCACCCAGCCGGCTAAATTGGCACTGGCACGAGTGAGGAAGGCAGCCAAGAAAATGGAAAAGAGAGTTGGTGCCAGTACACACCCTTGTTTAACCCCTGTTTGGATGGGGAAGAATTCAGACTGGGTGCCATTGTGCAGGACACTGCCGTTCATGCCACCGTGGAGTTGCCTCACAATGGCCATGAATTTTGGTGGGCAGCCAAAACGGCTGAGGGTCCACCAGAGGGCTTCCCTGTTGACCGAGTCGAAGGCCTTGGTTAGGTCGATGAAGGCCATGTACAGGTCACTATGATGCTCTCTGCACCTTTCCTGTATCTGGCAGGCAGCAAAGATCATGTCAGTAGTGCCACGTGATGGTCTCAAACTACATTGAGATTCTGGGAGGAAATTTTCCGCCTCAGGAAGAAGTCTGTTTAGGAGGACTTGGGCGATAATCTTGGCAGCTACGGAGAGCAGTGAGATCCCACGGTAGTTGCCACAGTCTGACCGGTCTCCCTCGTTCTTATAAATATTGACAATGGAGGCATCTTTAAGAGCTTGGGGGATTTCCTCCTTTTCCCATATATTCTCCAGGAGAGAGTGGAGACGGCTGGTAAGCAGAGGTCCCCCTGCTTTATACACCTCGGCTGGGATTTCATCAGGCCCTGAAGATTTGTTATTTTTCATCTGTTTGATGGCAGTAGCTACACTACATACATACACACACACACACACACACTCACTCAACTTAAAAAAAACACACACACAGCAGAAATGCAGTCCCTACCAATAACCATGGAGCCAATGATGCGACAACCAGCGATGGAAGCGTACACAACTGGTATCGCTTCACTCAACTGTTCCTCGAAGATGCTGGGAATATAAACACACTTTATTAGCCCCTCAAGTCATAGTAAATGAAGGTACACTACATAATGATAGGAGAAAAATAACCTAGACACCACACAGCTTATTTGATCCAATTAAACACCTTAACCTAACCCCACCAGGTAGTGTTAAGTGGGGTGGTTAATCTTCAGGTAATCCAAAGAACCTAACTACTGTTAATAAAATAAATTACTATATGGTCTTCTAACAATGAAATAATATTGTTTAATAATCACACCAAAAAATAATATTAGATGAACTACCAAAAATGAATGTTAACCTTACATCTCGCTGGACCACATGAAGATTGACCACCCCAGTTTATTTCACCTTAATGCAATAGCTTCAAGTGACTTTACCAAACTAATCCTTTATGTGAGCGATGCATTATATACAGTACTGGTATATTATTAATTCAAGAGGATATGAACCAAACCAAACCTAACCCAACTTAACCTAACCTAACCTAACCTAACCAAACCTAATGATGATATAATGTGGCTGAGGTATTCATTAAACAAACATGGCTGCCAGGGTGTAAGTGATATGTAATGTAAGAATCACAAATGAGGAAACTTTCTCCTCCAGTCACAGAAAATAAAACAAATTGTACAAGTGAAGAAACAAAATACACTCCTCCAACACTGAGTCAGTTTTCAAGAAAGTTTTAATCGTTTTGGGGGAAATTTTTTAAAGTTGGTGGTAAGGTTCATGTACTGAACCATTAGCTGATAAAATACTTCAAATAAATTAAACCAGTTCTTCCTTTTAGTTAAGTATCTCAACTTTGAACACAATTACACCTCAAACAATCATTAACTGAAGGCATCCCAAAACCCAGCCATCACCACGCGGTCCGACTAATTACCCAAATGTAGCAAAATATAGCCGGAATGAAGTCAAATAATGGTCCTACATGAATAAATTGGACTGCCAATCACTTCTCGACTAGTATTTGGTGTCACAAAGTCACAAAAAATTGGAAAACTTACTTTAATCTGAGTTAATAGATCGCGCGCATGTACCGAGGGAGCGAGTAATTACCCAAATGTAGCCGGAATGAAGTCAAATGATGGTCGTACAAGCGTAATCCGGGCTGTGAATCACTTCTCGATTATTATTTGGTGTCATAAAGTCACAAAAAATTGGTAAACTTAATTTAATCTGAGTTGTGTTGTGTTAGGTTAGATTAGGTTAGGTTAGGTACATGCACTCGATCTATTAACTCAGATTAAATTACGTTTACCAATTTTTTGTGACTTTGTGACACCAAACACTAGTCGAGAAGTGATTGGCAGTCCGATTTATTCATCTAGGACCATTATTTGACTTCATTGCGACTACATTTGGGTAATTAGTCGGACCCATCACCACGTCTTAAAATAAAATGGTTAATTCATAGTCTTACACCGATCTTTCTTTCGCTTTTATTAACATATATATAGTTATGTTAAGACAATTCTAAGACATTATTCATATATCTTATAATTATCTAAACATAACGAAATACATTAATAACAGCGAGAGAAAGATCGATGCAAGACAATAAATTAACCAACAAAACACATTAACCAATACAGTAAAATAAAGACATAAAGACAATAAATTAACCAATAAAACACATTGATAAATACGGTAAAATAAAGACATAATAAAATAAATAAGTTAATGGAGCCTAATGGAGCCAACACCTCTCACCTGTAGAAGTTAGCAGAGGCGCCAATACCCGCCAGGCAGAACGAATTTGTCAGCTTACAAAACACACCAATCTCATTAGAACCTTCAAACTGACAACGAACAGCCATGATGGAGTAGTTGAGTAGTTAGTGATGAGCCTCACGTGTCCTGGGGTCTGGTCCTCTTAACAGGTAAACAAACCTCATGATGGCCACTAACCTATACACCTTCACTAACATATAAGTCTCTCCTATAACCTATTAAAACCATCTTTATAATTAATAAATAGAATATATGCAATAATTAATTTTTTATCTAATATATAGCCATCATAATTATTTATATAGTTAATTAATCATCTGTATATGTGAGCATTAAATATTTCCTACTAAAACACTTTCAAAACTAAATTCAAGTATTCCAATAATAATAAAATAATATAACATAAATGATAGATTATATTATATACTGTTATAAATACTGAGATATAATTAAACTATAAATAACAAACACTTATTAAAGATGTATAGGTTAACAATGGTGTAAGGTTGGGCAACAAGAAATAAATTAATATATAATTTATCTTTTATTTATTATTTAACTTTATGGTAAAATAAATATGTATTAAATTACTTCTATGAAAACTTTTTAATATTTAGGACCTTATCTATGTGTGATAGATAGATAAATGGTTAGACTGATAGATTGATACAGATAAATAGATGTGTAACTATTTTACCCAATATCTATCTTATTTCCCTTTATCTATCTATCTATCTTTATGTCTATACGGGAATCTATTACAGCTGTGTATGTATGTGTGTGTGTATGTATGTGTGTAAACTTTAGTGTGCGTGTGTGTGTGTGAACTGAAAAGGGTTCAGGCTATGGATTCCGGGGTTCGGTACAAGGGTTCAATGATTCAGTACAGTACAAGGGTTCAATGATTCAGTACAGTACAAGGGTTCAATGATTCAGTACAGTACAAGGGTTCGATGATTCAGTACAGTACAAGGGTTCGATGATTCAGTACAGTACAAGGGTTCGATGATTCAGTACAGTACAAGGGTTCGATGATTCAGTACAGTACAAGGGTTCAATGATTCAGTAATACAGTACAAGGGTTCAATAATTCAGTACAGTACAAGGGTTCAATGATTCAGTACAGTACAAGGGTTCAATGATTCAGTACAGTACAAGGGTTCAATAATTCAGTACAGTACAAGGGTTCAATGATTCAGTACAGTACAAGGGTTCAATAATTCAGTACAGTACAAGGGTTCAATGATTCAGTACAGTACAAGGGTTCAATAATTCAGTACAGTACAAGGGTTCAATGATTCAGTACAGTACCAAGGGTTCAATAATTTCAGTACAAGGGGGTTCAAGGGTTCAATAATTCAGTACAGTACAAGGGTTCAATGATTCAGGGTTCAATATTCAGTACAGTGATTCAAGGGTTCAATACAGTAGTACAGTACAAGGGTTCAGTACAGTACAAGGGTTCAATGATTCCAGTACAAGGGTTCAATATTCAGTACAAGGGAGTACAAGGGATCAGTACAGTACAAGGTTCAGTACAGTACAAGGATTCATAATTACAGTACAAGGGTTCACAGTACAAGGGTTCAAGTACCAGGTTCATTCATAATACAGATTCAGTACAGGGGGCTAAGGGATTGTACAGTACCAAGGGTTCAATCAATTCATTCAGTACAACGAAAAGTTTCCAATAATTAAGGGTACAGTGCAAGGGTTCAATACAGTATTCAAGTACAGTACAAGGGTTCGATGATTCAGGTACAGTAAAGGGTTCAATAATTCAGTACAGTACAAGGTTCAATGATAGGGTTCAATGATTCAGTACAGTAAGTTCAATAAGGAAGGGTACAGTACAAGGTTCAATGATACAGTAAAGGTTCAATGAAGTGATTCCAGTACAGTACAGGGTTCAACATTCAGTACAGTACGGTAAAGGGTTCAATGATCAATAATTCAGTACAGTACAAGGGGTTCAATAATTCAGTACAGTACAGTACAAGGGTTCAATAATTCGGAAATTCACACAATGAGGGTTCATTAATTCAGTACAGTACAAGGGTTCACGATTCAGTACAGTACAAGGGTTCAGTTCATAATAACAGTACAAAGGGTTAGATTCAGTACAGTACAAGGGTTCAATGATCAGTACAGTACAAGGGTTCAGGGTTCAATGATTCAGTACGATACAGTACAAGGGTTCAATCAATAATTCAGTACAGTACAGTACAAGGGTTCAATGATTCAGTACAGTACAAGGGTTCAATAATTCAGTACAGTACAAGGGTTCAATAATTCAGTACAGTACAAGGGTTGATTCATCCAGTACAGTACAGTACAAAGGGTTCAATGATTCAGTACAGTACAAGGGTTCAATGATTCAGTAATTCAGTACAGTACAAGGGTTCAATGATTCAATCAGTACAAGTATTCAGTACAGTACAGGTGATTCAAGGGATTCCATTACAGTACCAAGGGTTCAATAATTCACAGTACAAAGGGTTCAATGATTCAGTACAGTACAAGGGTTCATGATTGAGTACAATTACCAAGGGTTCAATGATTCAGTACAGATTCAAGTAATATAGTACAAGGGTTCAATGGTTCGTATTACAAGGGTTCAATGACAGTACAGTACAAGGGTTCAATGATTCAGTACAGTAGGTTCAATGTTCAGTACAGGGTTCAATAATTCATTACAAGGTTCAATAACAGTACAAGGGTTCAATGATTCCAAGGGGTTCAATTTCAGTACAGTACAGTATGATTCAGTAATACAGTACAAGGGTTCAATGAATGAGGTTCAATGATTACAGTACAAGGGTTCGATGATTCAGTACAGTACAAGGGTTCAATGATTCAGTACAGTACAAGTACACAGTACAAGGGTTCAAATGATACAAAGGGTTCAATACAGTACAAGGGTTCAATGATTCAGTACAGTACAAGGGTTCAATGATTCAGTACAGTACAAAGGGTTCAATGATTCAGTACAGTACAAGGGTTTCAATGATTCAGTACAGTACAGGGTTCAATGATTCAGTCAAAGGTTCAATAATTCAGTACAGTACAAGGGGTAATTCAAGGGTTAATTCAGTACAGTACAAGGGTTCGATGAAGTACAGTACAAGGTTCAATGATTCAGTACAGTACAAGGGTTCAATGATTCAGTACAGTACAAGGGTTCAATGATTCAGTAATACAGTACAAGGGTTCAATGATTCAGTACAGTACAAGGGTTCAATGATTCAGTAATACAGTACAAGGGTTCAATGATTCAGTACAGTACAAGGGTTCAATGATTCAGTACAGTACAAGGGTTCAATGATTCAGTACAGTACAAGGGTTCAATGATTCACTACAGTACCAGGGTTCGGTGATTCACAAGAGGGGAGGAGGAGGGGTTCGGTACTGAGGGGTCGACTGGAGGAGGTAGTTGGCAACACTGTCAGTAGATGTTTTGGTTGAGGCAGCTCCAATATGGCAATGTACCTCTGTTGTTTTCGTCATTTATGTGGTTCAGCGCCCCATACTAGTGTACCCATTAGGACTACACCCACCATTATACTCGATACCGGGTATATGGGCAAGTATAACTAGTATAACCTTTAATTAATAGGGGGTTATGAGGTGTAGTGTACTGGGAAGCCTATGTCATGGGTGGTTGGGTAAGATTATTGGTATGTGGTTTTGATTGGTGATTGATTGATTATATTGTGGTTTTTATTGGTGATTGATTGATTATATTGTGGTTTTGATTGATTGATTGATTATATTGTGGTTTTTATTGGTGATTGATTGATTATATTGTGGTTTTGATTGATGATTGATTGATTATATTGTGGTTTTGATTGTATGTGGTTTTGGTTGGTGATTGACTCAGATTATATGTGGTTTTGATTGGTAATTAACTAAGATTATACGTGATTTTGTGATTTATTTTTTGATGTCATTGTGTTAGGGTTAAAGTATATGAGTTATTATTAGTAAAGCTTATCAACCACATATATAAGTAATTGGTGATTGTGTTGACTTATGACTAGGATTAAGTTATTTTCTGATGTATATATTTTTATTATACAGGCAGGTGAAATATACTGTATATGTCCTTTTAAAGTATAACTGTATATATGGAAAGGTGGTATATTTCTAGTTACCGTCATCCCTGTGTTTAGATATCGAAGCTGTGTGATTTCCGGCGGATATGAAGGTCCAAATCTTTCAAAACTCGTCGAAACCATCGTTAAGAGCTTAGTTTGGATATCTAACTTAACCTAAACTACCCTAACCTAACTTAACCCCATCTAATCTAACTTGACCTAACCTAATGTAATATAAGAAAAAGTTCATAGTAAAAATAATTCTATCGAGTGTTCATATTTTCCATAGGTCTTTGGATGATACTGTTTAGGTTTAGGTTAGGTTAGGTTTCAGTCAGGTTAGGTTAGATTTTGACAACTAATTAAAATCTTGTCTAATTTCAGGACATGAAGTAGTAATCGTTAAAAATGGCATCAGAATTTGTGGTACTGGTGGTGCACTTGGCAACATTCCCATCCTACAGAACAAAGCTTATTTTGAGGTGAAATTACAACAATCAGGTGAGTCGACTGTAACTGTACCGGGGATTACACTTCATCATTTAGAGCACAGTACTGTATTAGTAATATGCTTACCTCTCCCCACTGTGTCCTGGGTTCAAGTCCTGGCCTGTGATATGAGAAGGGTGTTATCCAGTGCGGCTTTCAGTACCTAACATAGCAGTGGGTTTTTTTTTCCCAGGTGCTAAAGTTTCCTCTTGTGCAATAAAAGTCATAATTAAATAAGTAAGAACAGTTTTATCACCTTGTAGAAAACAGATGGTGGTAGGAGACAGGTGGTTGTACAGACAGATGGTTACGAGGACAAGAGGCATTACCACATCTCTCTACAGTACTAGTTATAACCCTGTCGTCTCTCCTGCAGGGGTGTGGGGCGTAGGCATCGCAACACGCAACACCAACCTCAACAAAGTACCTCTGGGGGAAGACGCTCAGTCGTGGGTGTTGTGTTCTGACGGCACCGTGCGACACAACGGCGAGGAAAAGTACAAAATTGGCGACATACCACAAGAAGGAGATATAATGGTGAGATGATTACTGACAGCTCGTGTAAAAGTGTGTTTATCTGGCATCACTGCTAATTCCCTACTGATGCATATATATATATATATTTATCACCTTATGCCAGCAGCAACTTTAGGATGGTTAGGTTAGGATGGGTTAGATTAAGTTTGGATGGGTTAGGTTAGGTTAAGATGGGTTAGGTTAGGATGGATATATATTGATCAATTTTATACACTTCAATACCCAATGTTTATTCACCAACAGATTATTCCCAAAATATCATAAAATGTAAAAAAAAAAAAAAAATTCGAAAACCAAAAACCATACAATTAATGCTCATTATTTTTTTAGGGCATTACTTACGATCACGTCGAATTGAATTTCTACATCAACGGCAAACCCACGAACACGCCGGTCACCAGCTTTAAGGGAACGGTGTATCCGGCTCTGTATGGTTAGTTCGGTGAATATTCTTCTCGTCTCTCTCATTAACTCCTAATGTACGGGTTTCCCAAGGAGGTGAATAAAATCGCCGGGTGTTAACCAAATGAAATATTAAAGAGTGGCGTCATCGTTGAGAAGGGTTTAAGACTGACGGGAGGGGGGTGATAATAATGATGCTCTTTTGTTTGGTTAGGTTAGGTTTTGGTATCCATTCAGTAATATTTCAGGTACTGTATATTTGTGGGGTAAAATCGTATTATATTGATTTTTATAATTTTTTTTGCTTAGGGTTCCAACAGTTACTTGGCTTTGTAATTTGAGGGGTTACAGCAGTGTCCAGGTGTTGGAGGGATGGTGAAGCGCCCTGGACAAGAAGTAGAGAAGCAACACACAAAAAACACCATATATAGTTTTATAATGATATAATAAACACACAAGTTAATTTCTCGCTTGTTTTGTTCTCTCAGCAGTGGCTAATAACAGGGTACCGGTAATGAAACATACTGTAAACATTCTCGTCGACAATCAATCAATTGACTCTGTTTACGTTTCAGTCGACGACGGAGCCATAATGGACGTCATCTTCGAGAACTTCAGCCACGGTCCACCTTCAGGGTACGATTCTATTATGGTAGAGAAATCTTTGTTGGAAAACGATTAATGATAACCGTACGTCCATCTCTATCTTCCACTCCTCCTGTGTGTGTGTCTGTCCCATATAGTTCATCCTTGACCTAAACAATGGTAAATAATATCAGATTTATCCCCGAGTGATCGCTAGGAATATTCATATCATATCTTTAAACTTTGTGAGTTTCCCCTTTGTATAATCTCAAAGTTTATGATCATTACAAACCCAAATTGAAAAGTTGACTTGATTTCTTATGTTTATATTATGGGAGAGCTTAATTGGACAAGGGTTTAACGTGCTTATTAACGATGTGTAATTCATGGATCGTTGGTGGATATAGTGATTCCAGAGGTGATTGGGGGCTTGTGGTATGTGATAGCTTTTGTGTGGTACGTGTCTGTGGCGGCAGTCTGGTGTAGATGATTGAGTCGGGTGCAGGAGACGATGTATTGTGGGGCAGTGCAGTTGTGTGTAATGCTTCAGGTTGGTACAGTAGTGGGATTACCTGAAGGTTAAGCCCCCCCTCCCCCCGCATGTGGTGCCGCCTCCGAGCTGAATAAAATCCGTCTGGAGTTGGTTCAATAGACAGTAGCGTCCCTGTAGTGAAGAGGTTCAGCCCACCCATCTCATTTCACCTAAAATTTATCACTAATGGTAACCTAACCATCTCATGTTAATACTTCTCATTAATGTTAACCTAACCAAACACCCAGAGTAGTGTTAGGGTGTTTCATCATCAGCTGAGGAGTTAATCTCCAGGTAATCCCAGCAGAGTTTGTGTTGTGGTCTTAACATAATAAACAATATTTCTCTCCCTCGTGCTTGCGGTATTTACTTATCCCTTGTGTTAATATCTGGCCAGAGTAAATGAGCATTACAATTATTTACTTGGCCATTTTGCTTCAGTTCTTCATAATGTATCTTGTGTTATGACCTCATGTTGGGAGTGTGGGAAACAGATCTGTCTATACTGTACTCTACTTGTGAATGTCTTAGCAGGCTTCAGTGTAAACCATCAATTTATGTGATATTTATGTAACAATATACATTCTCTAACCAAAAATTTGAATATGTGATCTTTAATTGTATTGTATATATATTGAACTGTGGTATTGTAATTTATGAAAAGGCATTACAAAAATAAATTTCCTTTGTCAGTAAATGAGGATATATAATTTAATGGGATCCCAGGAGGTGTGTGTCGTGTCGAGTTATTGTAACCGGTATCTCATAACACGATGGCCGTACGTTACACCCCAGTATGTCCGAGTGAACGTGTGTACCGTGCTGGGTTGTGTCGACTGTAAATACTATCACAGCCTTTAAACTAACCCAAAAAACCTTCCCAGTGTATATATAGGGTGTCAGAAAAATGCCCTTGTTAACCTTTCTGCCCCCCCCTCCTTTCCTGCCCCTCTCCCTGCCTCCCTTCCTGCCCCTGCCTCCCTCTTTCCAACTCAGTGTCTCAGGGAGCAGGTAAGGACATTTCTCCGAGACACCCTATAAACTCCTTCATTTCTGGGACCTTGAGGAAGCACTTTACCTAAAACACCTTTAATAACTCACAAGTGGATGAGTTACAAGTATTTACTGGAGAAAGTCACACTGTGTACATGGATGACAAGTCCACTGTGTACACGCATGACAAGTCCACTGTGTACACGCATGACAAGTCCACTGTGTACACGCATGACAAGTCCACTGTGTACACGCATGACAAGTCCACTGTGTACACGCATGACAAGTCCACTGTGTACACGCATGACACGACACACGAATGACAACAGTATTGATTTAGGTTTATTCGTAGTTTTATTAAGATATACTAAGGTACCACTAATATTAAGGGTTAAATACCAATCATCTGTCATTTAAGAATCTTTAAAAAGTTTATTTCATTTTGTAAAACATTAAGAGTTTAAGGTATTGGTAACATATTCTTGAGGTATGTGTCGTATTTTTCACTTAAGTTCAGCATGTATGGAGTTGATTCACACGAGAAGTTGATCGATTTTATTTATTATGATTTACGACTGATGGTTCCAGACTCGGGCAATACCACACACGCCCTCTCTCTCTCTAACTGTCTTTAATCGCTTGAGTACAAGGTCATCACTGAGTTCGATGGATTAGACTAGAGATTAAGACTTTTTTTAAATCCCTTGAGTACGATGTTAACCCCATGAGTTGTCTTTCAAGAAATTAAGTCATTGTATTCATGTGGTCAAATTACCGTACTCAAAGGGTTAATTTATCATGCTTATGGGGTTAAGTTATTATACTGAAAGCGTTAATTTATCATACATTTGAGGTTAAGTTATCATACTCGGGTTTATATCATCGTATTCATGTTTATATCATCGTACTCAAGGGGTTAACAAGTGTGTGCCGTCAACAAGAGACAAAACTCCTCCTCTAGTTTACCCCGATACTGCACACAACTCGACATAAACCCCAGGAATCATTACAATTCAAAAGTTACATTATTACGGTGAAGCGACTCTCAGCAGTGCGTCCTGTCTGGCGATTGATATAGAACCGTGTGTGAAGAGGTTAAGTGATAGTCTTGATCGAGAGAAGCAGTGCAGGAGATTAACTATGGGTACTTGTACAGTCCCTTGGAAAAACGTCAAACTTTCGTCCTTTTCTGATTTAATAACTTCGAGCGATAATTAAATGAGTTTCGAAAGCACGGAAGGGCATAGTAGCTCCGTCTTTTGGACAAGATATCCGAATTTGTTTCCAGTGACTGTTGCGGGCGTGTGTTTTGTCTTATTTGGGGTTTTGAGTTACGACCGAATCGACTTGCAAACAAACGGGGTCCAGGAACGTAACTCTGGGGGCCTTCTGTGTATAAGTGACTCGGTATGATTTTAATACCGGGTGTTATGGGGTCATGATAGCGTGGACTTAATGTAAACAGACGGTACTGGACTTGTTCACCGACTTAGCACATTATACGTACAGATGAGAGGAGTTAAATTTTAGCAACATTACAGTAAAACCTCACTAAGGCGGACTAATTGGGGGGAAGAGGTGTCCGGGACAAGAGGTTGTCCATCTTAGAACAAATTTGTCCAAAAAGACCGTCGTTTTAAACAAAAAACCAAGTACAAAGTTAATATATCCAAGTTCAATGAATGAAATACATGTTATTAAATCAAAAGTAATTTACACAAAGTACTGTACACTTACTCCTGGTTCACTGATAAGGTCTTAAGACTTAACCTTCTCATCACCCTTATGAATACCAAACACCTTCCTAGGGGCTCTGGTTATTGTTTAATTTGTCAATATGAATGTTACTTCAGCCTAAGGTGAATGTACTAAATGTATTAAAATGATAATGACATAAAAAACACCCAAAATACAGTACTGTATTTTAAGGCAGGAGTATTTAGGAAAAAAAAAAGGTGTATTTTCCTCCTATAGTTTTCTTTAAATAATATACAGAACTGTACCAGGAAATGTGAGGAATAAATAAAATTAATACCAACAAAAAATACTGTATTGTCAAATGAAAGTTCATTACAGCCGCCATTTGCATATTACTCCCCGCTTCACCATAGTAACGAACATCAGCCGTCACGCCTATTCCCTAGCAATGCCCCCTCCTCCCCCTACACTCTACTGACCCTCGATGTAATGGACCCTCGATGTAATGGACTTTCATCTCTATAAAGTTCATGAGATTGGGGTTTCACGTCTAATGTACCCTCGATATAATGGAGTTTCATCTCTCTGTAGCCCATTAAATAGAGGTTTCACCGTAGATATTTTCCTACTTACTAATTGATCGTGAAGGTATAGTTGTGTGATTGACCTTGGTCCATAGGCACTGTCCACCTGTTGTGTGTACCGAGTCAGGAAGAACTGACCTGGTCCACAGGCACCGTCCACCTGTTGTGTGTGAGTCAGAAGAACTGACCTTGGTCCATAGGCACTGTCCACCTGTTGTGTGTACCGAGTCAGGGAAGAACTCAAACAAGATTAGTCCAAACAGCGAGTGAGATGTACCAGGATTGTGTTTTGGATTACGTGATTGTTTTTTGTAACTGTAGTGATGATTGTGTTGACTATATACAGCATGTACTATAGGTTGATTGCCTCACTTGCTGTTGTGTATTGTACAGAGAAGCCTTGATATAACGGACCCTCGATATAATGGACTTCATATCTATACACAGTAGTTCGTTAAATGGAGGTTTCATATCTAACGGACCCTCGATATAATGGACTTTCATCTCTATATAGTTCATTAAATGGAGGTTTCACATCTAACGGACCCTCGATATAATGGACTTTCATCTCTATATAGTTCATTAAATGGAGGTTTCACATCTAACGGACCCTCGATATAACGGACTCTCCTCCATATAGTCCGTTATATAGATATTGTACTGTAATGATTAATGTACAGACACACACACACACACATAACTGAGTATTTGTTGATAATTATTGTAAAACTTTCCTATATGATGCTTTAATATAACTAACATAAAGTACATTATATATGAGGAGCTTATATGAACAAATAGCTACGTCTTATATGAACAAATAACTACGTCTATAAGTTTACAAGAGAACACAACAAGTTTATGTAATATACAAAGAAATATAATGGTTATGTGTTGCTTATGTTTTACGGCTGCAGCAACACAACTAAACTGGTGGTAAGTTGTGTCTCAAATGGCCATGTCCTGTCTCAAATGGCCATAAGTCCTGTTAATCTATAATGGCTGCAGCAACACAATGGTAAGTTGTGTCTGTAAATCCTTGTTAAAATGGCCAAAAGTCCATGTCTAAAATGGCTGTAAATCCTCAAATGGCCATAAGTCCTGTTAATCTATAATGGCTGCAGCAACACAACTAAAATGACTGTAAATCCTTGTCTAAAATGGCCATAAGTCCTGTCTAAAATGGCCATAAGTCCTGTCTAAAATGGCCATAAGTCCTGTTTATCTATTATGGCTGCAGCAACACAACTAAAATGACTGTAAATCCTTGTCTAAAATGGCCAAAAGTCCTGTTAATCTATTATGGCCACACCAGAACCAAAATGGCCACCTAGATAAGATGATATATAACAGTAGAGAATAACACAAGGTCACAAATACCATCCACCGTCTCCTGTAGCAAAATAACGTAGATCTGGTAATACTGTATTTCATCTCTCTCGTAACATTCCGTGTAAGTTATGCTAAAAAAATAATATATATTTCTTACGTGTTCGTCTCTGCAAAGGGTTAAAGCACATGGGGGTTGTTGTAGTGAGGTTAAATTGAAACCTCTATATAATGGAGTTTTATCTCTATATAGTTCGTTAGATGGGTTTTTTGCACCTAACGGACCCTCGATATAATGAACTTTCATCTCTATATAGTTCGTTAGATGGGGGTTTCACATTTAACGGAACCTCGACATAAACTTCCCTCCCCCTACAGTTCATTAAATAGAGGTTTCACTCTTTCTCTCCCTTGAGGATTCGTGCGTGAAATTCCGTTTGTTTATTGCATTTTGTCGATTTATAAACAAACCCCAATACCTCTAATACGACGCCCCATCAGCTGCCGCCCCCCCTGAGGTCTTGACGAAGGTGATCTCTGAATATATATGATAACAATTATGTAAGAAAACACTGACAACATATCCCACAAGAGTAGTTTTTGTACTGTACCCAATGTTTGTATGTATGTGGACATGACTGATAAGGTAAGAGTCCATGTAAGGAGTCTCTGCCATATTATTATTGTAACTTTGAAATTAATATGATTGTAAAAGTAAATAATATACTGTACTATAAGTCTTGGTTTAATTTAACCTTCACTGCTTGTTAAGATGGGGATTAAGTGTGTTTTAATCCTTTGATGGTGGTGGTTTAAGCCTTTGATGATGGTTTAACCCCTTGATGATGGTGGTTTAACCCCTTGATGATGATGGTTTAACCCCTTAATGGTGGTTTAACCCTACAGTTTCCCCCTGTACTAACACTAAACAATAAAGACCATGTCAAAGTGCTTTGTGTGTGTGTGTGTTTATGAGCGAGTTCTGCGTGTAAAGTTTTTTTGGCAAAATCGGTGTTTTTACAAATTATCCAGTCAATTTGTAAAGAAACCAAGAGTATAGTAATTTTACAAAATGACCTTAAATGTTTGGTCATTTTGCAAAAAAACACCAAAATTAGCCACTTTTTAAAATCACCAATAATCTCGTCGGTGTAAGATCTCCAAACAGGTGAGAGCAACTATCACTCAGACCTTTAAACTACCTCGTTCATCACTTTAAACACTGTTCATGACTTGGCGTTACACCAACCTAGATTAGCCAATCCCGAGGCGGTGAGGTAACTTCCGCAACAACAGGGTTCCTCAGCTTGGCTCTCGTCGTGACCAACTGTGGATCTATCAAAAACCTTCAGTTATCTTCCATCCAGTTAATGTTTTTAAGGCAGAACACTAACAGGGAATATTGGGAGGTTCTACTGCATTACAACAAGAAATTTTACAAATACACTGACAATATTTTTGGTGATTTTGTAAAGTGGCTAATTTTTATGTGTTTTGCAAAATGACCAAACATTTAAGGTCATTTTGTAAAATAATAATTCTTTTGGTTTCTTTAGAAATTGACCAGATAATTTGCAAAAACACCGATTACCCACCAAAAAACCTAACATATATTTCTGCTGTGTGTGTGTAGGTGTTTATGTGTGTATGTAAGTGTATGTTTGACCAAGACAATACAGTACACACCAACCAGGTACACATAACACATAGGCAAACACTAAATCACCATGAAGTCTTATTAAACCACATAAGACTCTTCACCTCATAATGTTGGACGAGGGACAATCACATGTAGTAGCCTTTGTTATAGATGTATTGTAGGTAAATTACAGAGCTACATTATATGAAAGATGTACAAAAGGTGAGCTCCTGAGAGGGGTAAAAAGTACAGGTAATTTTACAGGTAGTCTCAGTAAAATGTATATGAATTGCCTTATAGGTTTTTGTGGCGATTGTATGAAGGATTGTATTAAAACCCCACCAGCACTGTCCTTGCTTGTATTAAAACACCAGCACTGCCCTAGCTTGTAGACCTCGCACACAAGCAAGCAAAGACAACGTTGGTGTTTTGCCACAAGCGATCGCCAAAAAAAAATCGTCAACTTGCATAAATTTTTCTGAGACATCCTGAACATTTCATTGGATATCCATTAGATTTAAAGAGTTCCTGTGGTCAAAATAACGGCAAGTTGCGATCCTCGTCCACTAAGGGATAAGACTTCTCACATACTGAACTATTTATACTGATGTCAATTTTAAACATACCTGATTGTTTGATTAAGGAATAGAATTAAATGAAAATTGGTAACCCCAGTTTATTTCACCTGATGATTAAACACCTTAACACTACCTGGAGGGGTTAGGTTAGGTTAGACTGGGTTAGGTTAGGTTAGACTGGGTTAGATTAGGTTAGACTGGGTTAGATTAGGTTAGGTTAGACTGGGTTAGATTAGGTTAGACTGGGTTAGGTTAGGTTAGGCTGGATTAAGTTAGGACAGCATATGTGGTTAATCCTAAGGCAAAATAAACAAGGGGGTGCTAATCTTCAGGTGATCCACAAAATAGTCATGTAGGCAGCAGACACTCAGAGTAAAGAGAGAGGTACAGCTGTGAGGCATCAGGAGGACTGTGGAGGCTGCTGCATGCCCTGTTGTTTCTGCAGCTGGTGTTGTTGTAGCAGCTGTATGTGTTTACTCTTGATGGCCTCCAGTTCACTGACTCGGGTCTTGGTGTGGTCGAGACGGTGCATCGCCATCTGGAGGGTCTTCTGGGAGTTGTAGCTCGACCCCTCGTGCGCCTGGCCTGTGGTGCGATCGGGGTTTATCGAGTCAGTCTCTCGCTAACAATAACACCCGAATAAATTAATTAAGCTCCGAGGTGCTCCAGGTGACAAGTGAACGAGTGGCAGGAGAAAATAAAGTCGGAAAATGCATAAAAGTCCAGCCATTATAAACACATCTCAAGAGTTGTTTTGTTACTTGTCTCAATCTTCCTCAGGCATCACAGCGGTTCCTTACCACCTGTAATACTCTACACCTGTCTCAAGATATATAATATTTGTTACTGTACTGTTGGATCTAGTCTAAGTAATGAAACACCAAGAATACATTACTATTTAGCTACATAAACCAGTCAATGTAGAGATGTTTGGACCGAGTTTATCACATAAATGACAGCCGTCATCAGTGGACATTCCGTGTTCCTTGTGTTCATGTCCTGGGAGAGGAACGAAGAACCGGGACCTCAAGTTACTGGTTATAGTTTAAAGATTCAGCCTCATGGCACAACCTTCACTCACCTGTAGACACCTGTGTGAGGTAATTAATTTGCTTGGCCAACTCCGTCTCGACGTTGGTCAGTGTCTGGCGGAACTGGTTGACGTGAGCTTCTACCTGTTTGTTGGCGGGTTTGTCTTTGCTCAGTTCTGTCAGGGCTTGACCTGTAGTGAGAACCAGTAGTAGGAATGAGTCATGACCCACTAACACTACAAGGTAGCCACCAATTATCTCATCTATTTTAAGACATAATTACTTTACTACTTGACTTGTTGTATAGTGACAACCTGTTTTGTCTATATACTGTACATGCTGAACTGTATGCCTACACCGGGGGTCGGCAACCTTTATACACTAGTCGGCCACTTAATGGTACGAGTAATCGGTGATACGCCGCAGGCCAACATAACTCAGCACTGTGTTCCATAGAATTGAATGTAAAATCATATTTAACACTAAACACAGCTTTCATTTTCACCACATACAGTACTGTACTCTGCACTGAAACAATAGCAGTAGTCACTTGCCTAGTTCAATATTCTGTAAAGAAATTAAGAAAACATAATTTTTAGCAATACAAATTATGTTAATATGAAACTGTCTTGGAGCAGTACAACATAATGGTTTAATAGCTGATTCTCATCCATAATACAGTACAGTGGGTCGGGATATATCGCGACTTTATATCACGATTTTTTTATATCGCGGCTACCAAAATTATCGACATTTTCCTATATATAACTCTATTTTTTTTTCGCGAGGGAAATCGGGCGGGAAATATTTCAAATGTACCGCCATGGCAAACAAATGCGTTATTTGCTCACCAGAGGCGCCACCGTGGCTGCTCACTCACGCATTCACGCTCACCGGCTCAATCTTTCTGAGTGAGTGACGAGAAAGCCGCCGACTGCTGCAGACTACAACTTCTAAGGTGAGTGTAAATGGGTTGCTAGTGACGTGTGAAGTGAAGATAATGGAAAAGATTAAATACTGTAACTAATATATTTGGTGTTTGTTTATGGTTGTTAAGTGAGGGTGGCAGTGTGTCGTCTGTTTTTGTCGGGATGGTGCGTCAGTTGCCGAGCCTGGTGTTCCCGAGTCCAGTGTTCATTGGCGCTTTAGTTAGTAAGAAAATAAACTCGTTAAGTCGAGTTTAGTCACTTTTATTGGCCTCCAGAACCTAACCCTATTTTCCCCATTGATTACATGTAATTATATATGTCGCGATTTAGTATATAGTGAACGTCCTTGGTCCCTACCTGCCGATATATCCCGACACCTACTGTACAAGAATTCAGGGGAAATTGTTTTATAAAGTAGTACAGTATTATGATATCCTGCAGTACAATAACCTGCCCCAAATAATGTAATGTTATTATAAACGACAGATAAAATATTCTCCACGTGTAATATTATGGTGAAATAAAGTTTGTTTTTTGTATAGGAAAATAAGGACTTCCCTGCCAAATACTGTAGACATAACAACACCAGAATTAATGTGAGGGTCGCGCTGGGATGTGATTTGCAACTACAGAAAAAGTTGGGTCTAGTGTGTTAGAGCTGCAGCCTTCACCAGTTGTGTGTGTGACTACTGGTGGTGAGCTGAGAGCAGTAGACTTGTTCTCCACAAAGGTAAACACTCAATGACTGTTCACACCATATGTTGATTTCCCTGCTTTTTATTTTCACCCAAAATATAAGGAATAATAACAGTTTTACCGGCCACATAGCCCGAAATTTAGACGTCACTCAGCCGGCCGCATACATTCCTCTTTCTGCGGCCGGAAAAATGGAGATTGCCAACCCTTAGTTTATATTCATGGTGAACTGTTTACTTGCATTGTCTACATATACATGGTGAACTGTATACCTGCATTGTCTACATATACATGGTGAACTGTATACCTGCATTGTCTACATATACATACGGTAATGAATCAATGTGAATTTATAATAATGATATTACTGATTAAATACCCAACTATATATCTACCTGTGACACCTGCAAAACACCTGTCATAACACAAACACCTGGGCCTAGAGACAGGTGTATAGTAGTTCAACTTAATCATTAAAGAAGATGACTTGATATGCCACCACCAACTCCCATTGTCTTCAGCTCACCACAAATGCCTCCATATAACAAGTCCGGCGAGACACGAGGACTAAGCGTGTCACCCACCGGGGCGTAATAAATTAATTAAATAAATAAAGAAGATGACACAGCACATTTCTGACCAATCCATTTGCTTATATGGTAAACAGAAGTTATCCATAAAATATCTAACCCACTTAAAAACACGATAACCTCAAAAGACATTAATGATATAACTCGTTAGGTTAGGTTAGGTCAGATTTATGGCATAATGTGGGAGAGATTAGAGATGGAAAGAAATTATACAGAAAAATTCTCTAGAAGGACTCAGTTGATGGTGAGTGTTTATTCGTCATCAACACCTGAAACTGCTTAAACGACCAGAGGTGGATGTGGTCCATAATGAGGGGGAACATTACATAAGAACATAAGAAAATAAGGCGTCTTCAATAGGCCGGTTGGCAGCTCCTGTCGAGAGTTACTTCCACTCTCTATCATCCATGAATCTATCTAGCCTCCTTTTAAAACTTTCCAGCACTTATTACAAAATTGCTAAGCTTGTTCCACTCGTCCACCACCCTATTTGTGAACCAGTTCCTTCCTATCTCCCTCCTAAACCTAAACTTATCCAACTTAAATCCGTTGCAACGAGTCCTATCCTGCTTGGATATTATAAGAACTTTATCTATATCTCCTTTATTGATTCCTTTCACCCACTTAAATACTTCTATCATATCTCCCCGCACTCTTCGTCTTTCTAGGGAATGCAAGTTAAGTTTCTTTAACCTATCCTGATATGGAAGGTTTCTAAGTCCCTGAATCATTTTCGTCATTCTTCGCTGCACCGACTCTAGTGAATTGATATCCATTCTATAATAGGGCACCAGAACTGAACCGCATAATCGAGGTGCGGCCTGACTAGCGCAAGATATAGTTGCAATAAGACCTCTACACTCTTGTTACTTACACTTCTAGATATAAAACCTAATACTCTGTTTGCCTTATTTCGAACATTAACGCACTGTTTTCTAGGCCGTAGGTCCGGGCTTACAAGTACCCCTAAGTCTCTTTCACAAGTCGACTTCTCTAGGTTGATGTTGTTAAGGCATTACAGTAAACCAGGTATACATGTAAACTGTAATTCCTGTACAGTATTTAATTAATGGTGATCTAGACGTGGGAAAAATTTTCTTAATTCTATGGCTGTGTAAAATAAGTAAAGGTGTGACATATAGTTCTACTTCATACTGTAACACACGACTGAAGTTAATAGCGGTCAAAAAAATCATTTCTATATTCCGCAAGGTTCCTTAACTCTTCCTCAAACAAGAATTTACAAATGCCACAGTACTTTATCAAGACTGTTCTTAGTTCAGTTTTTGCCGAATTTCCACTATTTTTTTTTTCCGGTGGTGGATATTTTGCCGTGAGCGATAAGTTCCTACTAATGCTATTTTACCGTGAGTGCGCTCTGATTGTTTTATTGTCCATTACCGTGACTCTGGTGGCATTTACTTAACCGTGAGTCGACTGTTGTGTAGCTGTAAACATACCTAACCTAACCTAAACTAAACTAACCTAACCTAACCTAACCTAACCTAACCTAACCTAACTTCCTAGCCGGAGAGACAGACCCTCCATCATAATACACATAACGCACCGAGCCAATCAGCTCATACTCACGGTAAAATAGCATTAGGAGGAACTAATCAGTCACGGCAATATATCCACCAAGTTAACCAGTGTCAGTCATAACTATGGAACAGTCTACCACCTCAAATTGTGGCTTCAAGAACTGTACTGTATCCCTTAACCAAACTATCAAGAACAATGGAGAGATCCTACTGGTCACCTTCCCTCTCTAGTGAATGGCCATTAGGTAAATAAGACCCTGAACTACCCACGTAGTATATCTCACCCGCTGACTGCAACACTGTAGCTATGTCCTTCTCTATGGTGTCCAGGGCCTGTAATCTATCCATAGGTGAAGCCATCGCCATCTTTATAACACAGCAGAGTATAACACAGCAGAGTATAACCCAGCAGACAGTGTACAGCAGACACAGCAGACAGTGTAGAGTAAGGCGTCTTGTCCTCCCTCAGTCACAACACCAATGTTTTGTTTACACAGACAACGTTGCCGGAACCTTCCTACCCAACATATCGTACACCTGTCCTCACCTTATATTATCTCTTATTAAATAACTACACGTTTTGATATATTTATAATAGATAATTAGATATATATATAATCGTTAAAGTTGATATAAAAATACATAATGGCTTAACTAGATGTCATTTTTGTTATGTATATTTAGCGCTGCCAGACGATTCCTATAACGTATCGTACATCTTACTTAAATAGTCGTACCAAACAGTCATACATTTTAGTATATACTGTATATAAAGTACTGTATATACTGTAAAAAATGTATATACTGTATAATATATAAACGATAAATCAACATGAATGTATAAGGTTTAAGGAACAACAGATAAATCCATATTTTCAGCAAATTCTTCATACTATAATTTTTACTTTGTGTTTTTCGTTGCTAATTCACTCCAATGTTCCATTAAATTTAAAATGTGATTTTCCACTTCCATAACGTACTTTTAAGCTATTAACTCACCCCTTACCTACCTATACTTTCCATACACGCTTACAATGGTTCATCATACGAGTAAGCAATGCAGGTACACAAACAACAAGTAGATTCAACCAAGAAAGTCCCAGAAAAAACTATAAAATACGTCTTTCAATGGCCGTCCTTATTACGTATTTCCTAATTGCATGTAAAGTTAATCCTGGTTCCATCCCTAATTACATCACATTACATTACGGTGATTAAGAGGTAATTTCATGTTCTGCCGTCCAAACTGAAATTACTTTTGTTCCTGCTCAATTATTTTAGGGTTTCTGTCACAACGTTTTCTATACAGATAAGTGGGTAGATTGATATATATTTATTCAGTGCAATTCCCAGAGAAACTTACATTGCTTCAGCATATACATAAGACAGTGTAGGGATACAAACAATATACCTAGACAGTACAGGTAAACAAATTCTGAAATAAATATGTTAGGCCTCACCATTTCCTCCAATATGTCCTGGAAATCACACATCCGTAGTATAACTAAAGCTGCCTCCAGAAAGTTGGGAATGCTGTACAGATGCCGTAGCTACTTCACTCCTGAGCAGTTGCTCCAAGCATACAAGGGATTCATTCGTCCTAACTTGGAGTACTGCTCTCATATCTGGGGTGGCTCTTCAGCGCTGTTAGATAGGGTGCTGGAATCAAAAGGCATTTCGTCTTGTGCTCTCCTCTATTTCAATTGACAATCTCTCCCTTTTCCTTTTACCACAATGTTGCTTCACTCTCTCTCTTTTACAGGTACTTTAACAGGCAATGTTCAGTGGATTTGGCATCCTGTGTACCGCCAGCAAGGCCGTGGGTTCGTAACACACGTCTTGCCCGCGGTGCCCACCATTTCTCTGTGGATGTCGGTCACACGAGAATAACCCGTTATAGTACCTCCTTCTTTCCTCACACAGCCAAACTGTGGAATGCTCTGCCTTCTTCTGTGTTTCCATGCTCTTACAATCTGTCTCACTTTAAAAAGCTGGTTTTCCGGCATCTTCGTGGTGTAGATTAATACAGTATAACCTTTTTTTTCTATATTTACAATTTCTTTCCGGGGTTTTTTCGCCCCCCACCCCAGGCTCCGTTGTGGGTCGTTTGACCTGTGCCCGGGTGAGCTAATTCCCGTAAAAAAAATACAAACAATATACCTGAACAGTACAGGTATACAAACAATATACCTAGACAGTACAGGTATACAAACAATATACCTAGACAGTACAGGTATACAAACAATATACCTAGACAGTACAGGTATACAAACAATATACCTAGACAGTACAGGTATACAAACAATATACCTGGACACTGTAGGTATACAAACAATATACCTAGACAGTACAGGTATACAAACAATATACCTAGACAGTACAGGTATACAAACAATATACCTAGACAGTACAGGTATACAAACAATATACCTAGACAGTACAGGTATACAAACAATATACCTAGACAGTACAGGTATACAAACAATATACCTAGACAGTACAGGTATACAAACAATATACCTAGACAGTACAGGTATACAAACAATATACCTGAACAGTACAGGTATACAAACAATATACCTAGACAGTACAGGTATACAAACAATATACCTAGACAGTACAGGTATACAAACAATATACCTAGACAGTACAGGTATACAAACAATATACCTAGACAGTACAGGTATACAAACAATATACCTAGACAGTACAGGTATACAAACAATATACCTAGACAGTACAGGTATACAAACAATATACCTAGACAGTACAGGTATACAAACAATATACCTAGACAGTACAGGTATACAAACAATATACCTAGACAGTACAGGTATACAAACAATATACCTAGACAGTACAGGTATACAAACAATATACCTAGACAGTACAGGTATACAAACAATATACCTAGACAGTACAGGTATACAAACAATATACCTAGACAGTACAGGTATACAAACAATATACCTAGACAGTACAGGTATACAAACAATATACCTAGACAGTACAGGTATACAAACAATATACCTAGACAGTACAGGTATACAAATAATATACCTAGACAGTACAGGTATACAAACAATATACCTAGACAGTAAAGGTATACAAGCAATATACCTAGACAGTACAGGTATACAAACAATATACCTAGACAGTACAGGTATACAAACAATATACCTAGACAGTAAAGGTATACAAGCAATATACCTAGACAGTACAGGTATACAAACAATATACCTAGACAGTACAGGTATACAAACAATATACCTATACAGCACAAGTATACAAACAAAATACCTAGACAGTACAGGTATACAAACAATATACCTAGACAGTACAGGTATATAAACAATATACCTAGACAGTACAGGTATACAAACAATATACCTACACAGTGTAGGTATACAAACAATATACCTAGACAGTACAGGTATACAAACAATATACCTAGACAGTACAGGTATATAAACAATATACCTAGACAGTACAGGTATACAAACAATAAACCTAGACAGTACAGGTATACAAACAATATACCTAGACAGTACAGGTATATAAACAATATACCTAGACAGTACAGGTATATAAACAATATACCTAGACAGTACAGGTATACAAACAATATACCTAGACAGTACAGGTATACAAACAATATACCTAGACAGTACAGGTATATAAACAATATACCTAGACAGTACAGGTATATAAACAATATACCTAGACAGTACAGGTATATAAACAATAAACCTAGACAGTACAGGTATACAAACAATATACCTAGACAGTACAGGTATATAAACAATATACCTAGACAGTACAGGTATATAAACAATATATCTAGACAGTACAGGTATATAAACAATATACCTAGACAGTACAGGTATATAAACAATATACCTAGACAGTACAGGTATACAAACAATATACCTAGACAGTACAGGTATATAAACAATACATGGTATAGTACAGGTATACAAACAATATACCTAGACAGTACAGGTATACAAACAATAAACCTAGACAGTACAGGTATACAAACAATATACCTAGACAGTACAGGTATACAAACAATATACCTAGACAGTACAGGTATACAAACAATATACCTAGACAGTACAGGTATATAAACAATATACCTTGACAGTACAGGTATATAAACAATATACCTAGACAGTACAGGTATACAAACAATATACCTAGACAGTACAGGTATACAAACAATATACCTAGACAGTACAGGTATATAAACAATATACCTAGACAGTACAGGTATACAAACAATATACCTAGACAGTACAGGTATATAAACAATATACCTAGACAGTACAGGTATATAAACAATATACCTTGACACTACAGGTATACAAACAATATACCTAGACAGTACAGGTATACAAAACAATATACCTAGACAGTACAGGTATACAAACAATATATGAGACAGTACAGGTATACAAACAATATACTTAGACAGCATAGGTATACAAATAATATACTTATGTACAGGTATAAAATATAATTGACAGTATATAAGAGACAAACAATATACCTAGACAGTACAGGTATACAAACAATATACCTAGATGCACAGGGGAGCATAAACAATATACTCTAGACAGTACAGGTGAGCACAAAACAATATACCTAGACAGTACAGGTATACAATCAATATACCTAGACAGTACAGGTATACAAACAATATACCTAGACAGTACAGGTATACAAACAATATACCTAGACAGTACAGGTATACAAACAATATACCTAGACAGTACAGGTATACAAACAATATACCTAGACAGTACAGGTATACAAACAATATACCTAGACAGTACAGGTATACAAACAATATACCTAGACAGTACAGGTATACAAACAATAAACCTAGACAGTACAGGTATACAAACAATATACCTAGACAGTACAGGTATACAAACAATATACCTAGACAGTACAGGTATACAAACAATATACATAGACAGTACAGGTATACAAACAATATACATAGACAGTACAGGTATACAAACAATATACCTAGACAGTACAGGTATACAAACAATATACCTAGACAGTACAGGTATACAAACAATATACCTACACAGTGTAGGGATACAAACAATATACCTAGACAGTACAGGTATACAAACAATATACCTAGACAGTACAGGTAGACATAAACAATATACTCAGACAGCAGAAAGTACAAAACAATAAAATGACAGTACAGGTGAGTACAAACAATATACCTAGACAGTACAGGTAAGATACAAACAATATACCTAGACAGTACAGGTATATAAAACAATATACCTAGACAGTACAGGTATACAAACAATATACCTAGATAGTACAGGTATACAAACAATATACCTAGATAGTACAGGTATACAAACAATATACCTAGACAGTACAGGTATACAAACAATATACCTAGACAGTACAGGTATACAAACAATATACCTAGACAGTACAGGTAT